TTTAAGACCTTCTAAGACCCTTGTTCCGAGTCGTTACATCACAAGTACTTAATTTAAATGCGGTTTTTCGGCCCAATGCCAGCGGTTTTTTAACGACGTCTCCTCCTTAAGGACAATGCCCATAAATTTCAAGCTTTTTTTCGGCATTTCGACTGACCCGAATAGTCGTTTGCGACATGACACGAGGCCGTTCGTGCAGTGCAAAGGTGAGGAATACTGGGGGAGGACGTTTTTCGTCGAGTAAATCGTTAAAAAAAAGTGGCGCTGGGCCAGGCACTACCATCGAAAAACCCCCATGGTGAGTCGGATGCATCAGTCCTATGGGCGTTAAGTGGTACCATCGTACCATGGGGCCATAAAAAACCCTGTACTCTGGAAAAAAAAGAAAGAAGCGGACAGACAGACAGTGAGACAGGACCACGACGACGACGACGATGGTGACGACGGACAGTGAACAACGTGCCATCTTTCAAAGAGACACAAGACAAACCGCTCGTTGTCGAATTCGAACCGCCCTGTGAAAAGGAACACGAAGCTCTGAAAAAAACCGTTAACGCTGATGAATCTTCAGTGTTCGCTCAGCGACATCTCCCACACCATAAAACCACCCCCTGAATGGACGTTTTTCAGCTGGAAACATTTCTGTGGTGAGAAGCAGTTTTTTTGAATTTTCATTTTGAAAGGGCAAAGGGCAAACCATCCGCGGAGGAGGACAACGAGACAATCGACCGCGTAAGGGTACCCGGGTAAAATGATCTAGCCGATGCGTGATCAGACCATTAGAAGGACCTCTTTTCAACAAGCAGTCGAAATGTGGACCCACACACGAGGGTGGGTCGGTCGGCCACTATCGCTGGTCGCGCACCCGCTGGCTACCGCTCAAACCATTGTGTTTATTCTCTCCACACACACGACATTCGCATAGGCACGAATCATTCCCTCCACTTTGACGACTAAAAATATCCATTGTGTTCTCAATGGAATTTCTCTGTTCATATCCCAGTTTGGATCACGGTCACTACAGGTNTCTGGCAGAGATTACATAAATTTAACTTTTAGACATGACAGACATGCTCCCAGGTATCCTGTTATACTCAATGATAACCTATGATACAACTTGGTATCTCAAGAAAACTTCTCTGTTCATATCCCAGTTCGGATCACGGTCACTATAGGTTCTTGGGAAGAAAGTTGTTCTCACAGGGACTACACAAATTCTCCTTCAAAACATGATAGACCAGTACCCAGGTATTCTGTTGTACTCAATGGTACCTATAAAATTCAACGATAAAATTCAATACTCAAGGTAAATTCTCTGCTCATATCCTAGCTGCGGTGAAGGGTTCTAGAGGTTTCTGGGAGGACAGATATACCAAGCAGAAATCACATGAATTTGAGGCTAAGACATAACAGACAGGTATTTTGTTGTACTCAATGATAATCTATGATAAAATTTGATATCACACGCAAGTCCTTTGTCCAAATTCCAGTTAACAACAAGGTTTCTACAGGTTTTGGGAAAACAAGCATTTCTGGAAGAGGTCCCTCGAATAAAAGCTTAGGACTAGTCATCCAGAAATTCTAGTGCATCTAATGGTAAGATATGATATAATTTGATAGATCATAGTTATCATTACCCCAAGGCCAACGGTAGCATTCACAGGCAAATAATCAGTAGGGCCAAATGGACTTCATAAGGTCCTGGGTACGAGAGAAGACCAATTTTGGAACAACTAAACCAAACAGTAGAGCCAAACTTCCGTTGTTTGCAAGGGTTCCGTTAAAAATTTGATTTAAAAAAAAACGGCACAGCTCTTAGGAAGCTACCACGCTCATCGAAAATGATTAAGAACGAGAGAAGAATCTGAAAAAATCTGAAGAATTGAGCTCAAGGGAGATGACTCAGACATTATTAGATTACGCCATGCCTTTGATGACCCCATAAAATCGTTACGATCTCTGATAACCAGCAGAACTCAGTTTATGAATGCTAAGAAGCTCACAGTTAGAATCTGTTACCAGCTAGCATCGTCTTAATCCAGTTTTTCATGAAGTTTATAATCTAGCAATCATGGAGAATGAAATGATTAAATTTTCGGAGTGAATACTTACTGGAGTACGCCATGCATTCGTTCTTTGCCCAGATTTCTAGTGGTACGGAACGCTTGCTGAGCGATATCAACCGATACACGGACCAGTGTAAATAATCTCCGGAAGTCTGCTACTCTGTAATCAATCTCAGGGTAGAGGAACGCTCGGTCGGCTGGGTGAGACTTGATCCTAGGTTCGATCTTTGGACCATGAGCATACTAGCTGCGCCACTTTGTCATTATCCCCACTTCCGCTACTCCATTCCTTTTATTATTATTAGTATTCCTTCGACCGATTGGAATGAACTGCCTTCAAACTGCAAGTGTTGAACCGATGACCTTGCTATCAAAACAAAGATTTAACCATAGCGCTATGCAAATCTCGATTACAGCATTAAATATGCAGGACCAAGGTCATCGACACTTCTGAGCCTTTCAAAGTTACCCCGTGAACTCGATCTTCGTTTAGAACTCCTGCAGTTCACTGAGAGCTTCATGCTGGAACTATTTCAAGGAACACTCTATGGAAGCCCAGCTTCACCGGTGCTTTTATCCTCCCAAACAGATCCGCTTCCGCGCCATATCCAAAAAAGTCTAAGACTTGTTCGGCTAACGATTGGAACCGATACTGCAAGCTTCTCAAGCCTCGTTGCAGACTGGATTCTATAGCTCTAATTCATTCCATTTATGACACCACTTTGAGTCATACCCCTTGAAATCTTTCTACAAAAAGATTTTACTCCCAATTACCAGCTGACTGTGGGTACCTCTATTGAAAAGCTCAAACTCGAATTCCGGACCTACTAGGAGAGAAACAGATTAACCCCCTTCTCCCAGATGTAACGAATTACCCCATCTCCCAAAAGTGCAAAGAGGGATTTCAAAATTTTCGCGGGTATCTGTACCCCATAAAAATCTCCCTCATTTGGTGACCTCAATCAGAAGACAAAGACGGGGGGCAAGCAAGGAGAAGAGGAGGTGGAGCCGTGAAAAACGTGAAAGTCCGCTATAGTCGGGGTATGGTTCGCGGACAGAATCCTGTCTTTCTAGCCCTCTCATCTCAGTCCCCCATCCTATTGTTACATGCCTTTTCAGCTAGTTGATGGCTACCAGTTCTATTTGGGAGGACAACAACAAATACTGCTTCTTACACTACGTGGCTTCTGTGGGTCATTGTATAGGGCAAATCCAGTCCTGTGATTCTCAATGGAAGCTGGAAGCATAGGCCACTCCACAGTGTATAGATGATCCTTGAACTCTCTCTTCCCAGAAGTACAATTCGGGGTCATGTCAAATGCATCTTTGCTATTAAATTTTATCAAATGTTATCATTATGAGCCATTTGGGGGCCACTTGGGAGATTTTTTGCAGGACTTTTTTTTGCAGTTCATGACGCATCCGGCTGGTACGTGCACGTAGAAGTGTGTATGAATCTCTGTGTGTGTGTCCAGGGGATGGGTAGCGAGACGGATTCGGTACTTAGCGCTTTGGTCGCGCGACGGCGACAAGAGAACGCGCAGCGCTCTTTACGTACCACCCGGACCGCCCCTATTCGAAACCCTGTACACTGACCCACGCGACACCCGTGCTAGGCACCACGATCATCACCCAGTCTCTTCACCGCCATCCTTTTCTCTGCAACTCGTTCAAGTCTCGTCACTCTTCGCCTCTAACACTATCTAACGCGAACTCGTCCATACTGTCCCCTATCAACAGCATCTCTCGTATGTCACCACTGCAACTCTCATCGCTTATACACTCTCTGGCCGAGTTTCGTTCATCCTGCACAAGCGACATGCTCTCTCCAGCTGGTTGGTCAGTCGACTTGCATGTCCGGCCCCAGCATCGTCCTGATCGCAAGGGTTCCACGAGTCATCTACACATTCATACAGTAGCTTCATCTTAGTCATTCTTATTCAGCTCTCGATTTTCATGGCCTTATTCATAGTCGTGCGCCATTTCGTCTTTTACAAGGGTGAGGCGAAGAGTTTCTCAAACTCTTCCCCTTCAAGACTGCTCTTATCGCCGACTTCAAAGATTTTTCCCAGAAAGTGGGGCAATCTTGAGGTCCCAAGGCTTCTAAGAAGTATCAGAAATCAGTCTTTTACCTTTGGATTTCGTTCTCAGCAAGATGTAGTGGCTTATGTAGTAATGATCCGGATAATATAGTTGAGCTCTATGTGAAAAGCTGTTTGACAAACAAAACAATGAAACAATTTGTCGGACTTGTTTGTTCAGCAGCAGCTACAACAACATGCAGCAGCTATTTCGGGGAGGGGGAGTATGATCGCCTCCGCCGCCTGTCCGTCGTCGTCCTCGTCGTTCCTCCCGCGTCGTCGCCGCTGTAGTCTCCGGTCCGGCTCCGTCCGTTGAATGTCGCTCTTTGTCTCTCTCTGCTTCTTCTGAAGTCCACCTCTCAATTGCGATCACACACACCACACTCACACTCACACAGACACACCCCGTAGCTGCTTTACGAATTCCCCGTCCCCGTCCCCACCCCTTCTCCCCTCCCTCCCTAGATCAAATTCGTACTGAAGTCGATCTCGGGTGGGGGATGATGTGCTGTTGTGCATAGTTCATTCACAATGCGACCACACACACACACATGCACGATAGTCAGCCAGTCAGATCGTCGTCCGTACTAGGACGTACGCGAGTTCACTAACCTTATTTGAATACCGTTGATTGACCTTCGTTGACAATCATTTGCTGATATTTTGCCTTCCTATCAACAAAGTTGAAATAGTCAAATAAACAGCTGTTTTCCGTTGACCATGACCGTTTTCTCCTTCAGAATGTCCACATTCGTTCCAAGTCTCTGAACAGTCTCATCGTTTTCGTCTTACTCATCAAGATCATGATTTTCACATTCACTAACCACTTGATGAATTTCAGTCGCCTCCGCCGATGACATCTGCGGCTCCAGATCGATCATCATCACATCAACAAGTAGAAAGTACTACTGAAAATTTAGAAAGTAATATTCAAGAGGTCAGATTTTTCAAGGCAATTCATTTTCTTCTCGTTTATTACTGTAATTTTGAATAGTTTACTTCAAATTTCATTTGAATTTTGGTCTTTGTGCTTTTTACGACCTCTTTACATTTACTCTACCGCTACTGTCAACCTTGAACGGCTACGGCTCGGACAAGACTCCTTTGAGATTCGTTTTGATAGTGATAACCTTGCGATAGATTTCCTTCGCTAACGTCAATTGACGATGAAGACGGAAGGCTAAGATTTGCCGAAATGTAGGGAAAATCCTCAAAAATTCGCTAGGGGGTCTAATAAAGGGCGTTCGGAACCACCACCCAAATAACCCTTTTTTCAGACTCGACGAACAACCCGAGTCGATGGCTATTCACTTTCACCACCTCATACGTGGTCTGAATCTACGGAACAAGATGAAGATACGACAGAATCCCGTCATCTATTCACGGTAGTCGTCACCTTACCCGAGGGTGACATCCTTGATTCCAGAGTCGTTTCCGATTCGATCTCAGCTGAGGTGAGCAATTATTTAAGAATTTTTACGTTTTTTTATTGTTTTCCCATTTTCAATAGCCCTAGCATCTCGAAATATTTGAGAATCGAAAGGGAAACGAATAGCGCCGAACCAATCCAAGGCGATCCCTTTGTCCGGGTAGGGGGAGCCGATCTATGTCTTTGCTGAACACACCGAAACAGGATCACTTGTGGGCCCCTCTTTCTGTACAATCCTATGAATCTGGTCCAAATCTCACTATTGAATTGTTTGAATGGGAAAAAGCCAAGATCCGTCTCGGGATGCGCCATGCATGAGACTTTCAATCAAAACAGCATTAACATTTGAATCTGCACTGAACTACGCAATTACTCAAGTAAATCGTATATAGTTCATGCCAGAAGACCTTATTTCCCTGAATAACTATCTCGTGACGAAAGGTAACAGTAGATGAGGTAAGCGCTACTCGGGATATTCCCGGATGACGTGAATTCTGCCAAAAGTCGATTGAATTTACCGATTTCTTAGCTTCAGTATGATTTTTATGGGTTTTTAAATGTTTTTGGCCGATTCTTATAAAATCACCGATGAAGAGCCGTCTTTATTAAAGTTTATGGATGGGGATTAGAACTTAAAAGTAGCTGACAGGCCTTCTACTCATTTGAGTGACCGGAGTGTAATTCAGTCTTGGAAGATCACCAAATGAGATCCTCCGACTGCTACTTTCCCTCAGCTTTTGTTGCTTGTTTTTTTTATTTGTTGACAATTTGCTCTAAGAAAACAACTCGCAGTACAACCATAGCAACACAGAGGCCGTTTTTTCCTGTGCAATAAAGGTGCGATTGGCCTCCAGTATGTCTGGCGAGCCAACACCTAAAAACTAGTTCAAGGTGTTTAACCTAAAAACTGTTTCTCTCTCTCCGAAAGATTGTTTCATGAAGCGATTATCCTGCGTTAACACTATCGAGAACATGGGCGACAGATTGAACAGTCTTCTGGGAAGATAAAACCATTGGGTGATCCTCAAAACCTAGTGCACAGTTTGAGGAAGATTTCCAATTCTTCCGATTTTCAATTGAAAGTCGTGTTAATGGCGCATTCCATAAAGAGCGAATGATCCTAACAGCTTTTCCTTTTCTTGCGTATTTGTTGGATTTTTGGAGCTTTCATTTCCATAATCGTAGAGAACTTCTACGAACCAGTGAATCCTTCTCTTTTCTCGATGATTATAATAAATAGTATTAAATAGTAAATAGTAAATTATGTAGGCCAAGGAGTACCCTGAAAACCACAAGTGACTCGGACCTGAAGGATAATGCACGAAATGTACCTATTCCTATGCGACAATCTTCGAATCAGATCCATAATTAATCTGTACGGTAGTCTGAGCTTACTGTAGAAAAACACAAGGTTACTGTAGCGGTTCATGTATTGTTCTTTTCAAGAAGATCTGCTCTGAACCATTTACGGTTAATGGTCCGTAAGATCTACCCCAGGTGACATCCCCATACGGATCTTCCGCGATTCGTAAAGGAGGAACAAAAAAATACCTTAATGGGTGGTTGTGTCTAGTACGATGCGTACGTAGGGCTTTCAAATACCGTCCGTCTCCCACTCTACACTCCCCAACTGGTTTCCAATCTATCTGGCTCCTCTTTCAGCCCCGAATACATCATCCTCTCATAAATCTTCCTTCAGCTCCTATCATCTCATCTACCCCATCAACAACAAACTTCCTATAGATCATTATTTCTTATTTCAGACATTACAACGAGGAAATCGTTTCTTTTCATGCCTACACGGTAAAGGTCAGTCCATACTGCTATCAGCAGCTGCCACATCTGTACGACAACGGATTTTCGCCCGAGTTAACTGGTATGTCCTACTTGCTATACGATTTACTCACTTCTTCAGCCTTTCATACATACTAATGGAACAATTGGTTCGCGCGGACTCCTACGACTGCACCTCAATTCGTCGTTGGGTGCGCTCGTGCTTTCTCCCCACTATGATGAGCTCCCATAGTACGACTCGGGAGCATTTATGTGAGAGAGTATAGAGAACGTGGGAAAACCCCCGGGTGCATGGGAATTCCAGAGGGACGAGGGGTGATAACGAAATGAGAGAGTGTGTTGACAAAGAACACGACAACAAGTGAGATAGCACTAGGTGCGAGGAGGGTGCCAGAGTGGCGAGAGTGCGGTCATCGAGTCTCGAAATGTGTGGTCGCTGTGGAAAAAAAAACACACTTCCGTGTCGACCTGTCGGAGATGACAGCGGTCATCTACCGTATCCCGTAGCACGACGGGTCGGGTGTGGGTCATACAGACTGGTGGGTCCCCGTAGAGGTTTACGCCGTGCAAGGGTGAGATTGTTCAATAGGGCAGGTGTTGGGGATAGCCAGTGCTGCGGACACAGATGGACACTCACTGGTACGAGTTGTCGCGTCGCTTCCTAATGAATCGGACACACGACGACGACGGGGGGAATTGACCACACCACTGCAGTGCACGATCGCGCTCCCGCGCCATGCTTGACACGGTTGACTACGACGAAAGATCGTTGCGTTCGATTCGCGTTACGATCCTTCTCTTCCTTTTGTGGTGTAGATGGGGATGGGAAAGGAAGGGGAAGCGCCGCAAGATCTCGAGGGATCAAATTCGTCAAGTCAAATTTGTGATGAAGTTTTTGCCTGTACAAAATGGTTCTACCATTTCAGCGGGGTTGTGAACCATGCGTGTGAGCTGATGTGCGAATTCGAACCGAAAAGGGCTCGAATCACAGCCATGGCCCTTCGAGCTGCTTTCGGACCATCGACACCGTTCCATAGTCTCACGTTCACCACCAAACATGCAGCCAGTTGTGCTCTGACACACATAGACTATACGTTAGTTTAACTCTGTTAATTAAATGTTTCCCGGCTGTTTGAGCTAATCAAGACGGCCAGCCAGCCGGCGGATACTAGTGGTCATTGCTGGGTGCCGACATTCCAATTCTAAGGGCTGAAATGTGATTATGCAAATGAATGTTGCATTTCCTCCTTGGGGAATTGATTAAGAAGGCGGCTATGCTGTATGATCTTAGTGTCGATTAAAGCTAACTAACTGGCTGGCTGCCCGTTATCAGACACTGGCCGGTGCCGGGAGGTGAAAAGCTGAGTGCTGGTCAGAGAAGGGGACCACCAGCGGCTTGTCTCACTGGCACTCGGTGACACCCCGCACAGCTGAGCCGTTCCAGTACGAGGCATTAATGACTTGTCAAGAGCAGAGAGCCTATATGTCATTGCATGATTGCTCAAAAATAAAGTGTAATTTTTTAGATCGATTCCGTATCTTGGACATTTGCCAACGGATCTGATCGGTCGATCAATTCTGGCATTCGTTTACGCTCCAGACGTTCATGTTGTTCGCCAAGCCCATGTTGATTGTAAGTTTCCCAGAGTGCTGTGAGAACGTTTTCTTTGTCTGCAGATAGTTCAAACGGGCACCCTTCTTTTTCAGTACACAATTCACGAGGACGAGTAGTGAAGAGTGTAGCTCCGCTACGCTTTGTCGCTTACAATGGGGCTTTGTTAAGGGCCGAAACCGAATGGTCAGCGTATGTGAACCCATGGACGAAAAAAATTGACATGGTCGTCGCACGACATCGCATTATTGATGCCCCAATTGGAGGTAATTCGCAACAATTTGAAAAAAAGTTCATTCCTATGAATATAGGCAACTGAAGGGTCATTTTGCTAAAACAATGCAACTGTGCCATAAAGTCCGTTTTTCAGATGCAAACGTTCTCGATGCACCGGCCAATGGTCAAGCCTTGCACGTGCTACCACCACCAATGGCCAAGACATTCGAGGACGAGTTGCGATGTCTAATGAACAAAGTGGGTTTTTCACATTTTTTTTCTTTTCCCATTACTTTAAATGCTCTATAAATTAACTAGGCGGCTTTTGAGCGACCCACCGGATTCGCACTTGATCGACGATTGCTCTAGTTAGGAGAGGGGGATGGCTGAGAAGCGGGTTCTGCATTGTCGCTGGATGAAGTGCACGAAGGCCGCGTGCCAGCCGGCGCCGCGTCACTATCAGCTGTTTCGGGTGTTCGCACCAGTCGGCGATGATGTCGCCTGGCCACTTGGCGCACCCTGATACGGACAACCAGCGACAAAGTCCGCGCTTCCTCAGCTTGTCCTTCGACCGCCTGTCTACTCACGCCACAAACGGGGAGCGAAAATCGTGTAATGATAGTGAGTGACCGTTGGCTATTCTGGGTCGGTTCGTGTCGCTACCCGGCACCTTTGAATCGGCCCGACGTTTCCGAAACGACGCTAAAGGGTAGCAGCGAGTGCGTGTCAGGACGTGCGCGCTGTTAGTGCCAACCGCCACCACCGTACCCGCTACGAGCGAGTGAACCGGGCGCCGCCGACCCATACAAGTGACCCGTATACCAGCAAGCGATGCTGGCACCCGCCGCCGGATCTCGTTCAGGGTCTTATTCTTCTTCAGCCCCGATTCGCGACCGTCAGGGTCCGATCCTTTGACGAGTCAATGTCATTCTTCTGCTAGCTCTGCCATGCCGATTAACCTTAATGCACTTTGCATATCATTACGTAGACCCTTTCGCATGTTACCATCTCCCTCTTTCAAGATAAGGGCACTCATTGGCTACCTTTCAAAGAATAACTCTAGTAGTAAGTGAGAGTAGTGGTAGGCGCGGGAGTATACGGGAAAGTGCCTGCACACGCGCTTCCCCGGGGCGGTCTGATCGGTGCTAGCCACGGACGGGCAGTGCCACGCGGCGCGTTTCGTCTAAATTGTGGTCTAGGCTCGTGGTCAGCTCTAAACAGCTCCTGCCCAACGCCAACAATCGTCCTCCAGACAGGCTGAATCCGTTGGCTTCATTTATTCCATTAACGACCATTAACGACGTACAACTAGTAGTTCTAGATGTTATCCAATCAATATTCTCTATTGGATAAGCTTTAGAAAGCTGCGGATAAAGATGAGTTTTCCAGATGGACTTTGGTCTTTTGTGTTTTCTGGTGAATGCAATTTTTGGGTGCAGTCCGTTGACAGCAGAAATTCGCCAATGATCAATTATGAAAAACGTTCCAGTGAAAACTGGCCTGAAAATCCGGTTTTCAATAGTTTCAAGGAACGGGAGCACTTTTTAGACGTTAGAGGTCGCGTCCGAATCTTTGTGACTCACAAACTCTCGCAATGGCGACATACCTTTCGAAAAACTGAATGACCGTCGGTGCACCAGGTGCAGATTCCCACGGTAGCGATCCGCCCCTTCCGCGTGTGTGTGTGTATGTCTGTGTATGTGTCTGCCTGTATGTGTTTGGTCAGCACGACGTCGACCATCACGTACTTCCGCGCCGCTCTTGCGCCCTTACACCAAGCGATACTTCCTCCTTGGGTGGTGGTGGTTTCATCTAGTTCGGCTTTCGATTCGCCATTTATTCCGTTAATTGTTGCACCCCAAGGGTGTTGCACCAATGTGTGTGTAGATGTAATTGTAATTTATCTACAGTCCATTACAATACGAAAATTCTTCACCTATTTCTCTATTCATCGTTTCAGCCTGTGTCATCCTGTCGCGGTAACGGCGGTGATTCCGTCCCAGTGGTCGGAATGTGCGATGCTGTTGGACGACCGGCTAATTTAGGAGCCTATATTGACCGATTAGTTGAAACACTAGTAGTAAACAGTACGGGTAGCCCACAACAACAACAACAACAACAACAACAACAACGGATGGTAAGTCCAACTATTTCGAGAGCGAGTTTGAGACTTGAATATTTCTCAAGTAACCTTTGCGTTTCAGTGCTCCACATTGGCAAATATCCAAGTGAAGGAGGAACAATCCGATCTCCCTTTGTCATACAATCAAATAAATTGTCTCGAAAATGTCCATCGCCTCCTGAAATCCCAGTCTCGACCGGAAACACCCACGAAATGCGAACAGGATGATTCAACGTAAGTTCAATGCGATCAACCGACATTTTCCTGAAACTCTATGAGTTACTGAAGTAACAAGGAGGAAGCCTCGTTTAAGCCCCAAGTAGTGGAATAGTTAGAAATAACAAGTATTTCCGGCCTATTACGCTTCAGCGCTCAGTCATATACCTCAACGTTCCTTGTTCCACCCTGGCACCAGTCACCAGGCTGGTTCAGGCCACCAGATCGGAGCGACGGGTGCATTGTTTGTCGCCAGTGCCACCCGCAACGAAGGACGCTGTCCTTTGCGCAATAGCGCCACCGCATAACAACAACCCTGGTCACTGTCACAACAATCGTATCCCCCCTCCCAAACGATGTACACCTGAGAATTACCTCAACCTTTTCAGGTGTAGTACAACTGCGTCCATCCCGTTGACACGAGAAGTCCTACAAGCACACACGAGACGATGGGAGGAACAATATCGAGACACTTGGCATCGTCGTTTGAAACGAATGTCAGCCGAGGTGTTACCCGGTGCCCCAGCCCATAAGCACATGCGACCGGCATCCAGCTGTACGCCGCCTGCTCACTGGCCAACTGCGAAGCGAGAAGAGTTTTACCGTAGCCTCGCCCCGAATCCTCCACCGCCACCGGGAATCAACTTCCAGGTAAGCTTTGATAGTAATATCTTTTGGGAAGGGTCTTTAATACATTCCTCTCCTACAGATCACCACCATACCGTTACCTCCCGTGGATGAAAAGAGTACCACTCCGACTTCAACCACAGAACGATCGAGTGCGTTCACAACGGTGGCGCCGAAGGGGATTCCACTCCGTGAACTGCCCACTCCTATCGCTCTCTCCATCCAGGATCATGGCTCAGTCATCCAAATGCCGTCTGAACCACTTATCGTTCCTCGAGAGGTACTTAATCAACGACTCCAATGGGCGTATGGCGTCGAACCGTCTTCACTAAAGCAACATACAAAAGCACTACGTTTACTACCCGAAAGTGCATAGGTTATTGAAATTTCCCATCGTTCTTTCGTCTCTTTTCGCATATTCGCCCGAGAAAATGCGACCTACCCGGCGTTCTTTCCGTCACCAAACCCGGCTAGGAGGTTTAGCCGTCCGCCGTGGTATAATACTGCCCATTTTCCTAGCCTATCAAATAACTATATCTATATTATATATGTATATGTAATTATGTATTGCGCTTTATTCGTTGCCTTCTACCCCGAGTTAACATTACCACTGCCGAGTGCGTATGGCGTATACCGTAACGTACACACTACAGCGTCTGCTACCGTACACCCAAAATAATAGTTGTATCGTCATGTGTGTTTCTTTCGTATGTGTGTGACCGGTGCCGTGCCGTAGTAGTAATGACGAGCGCGTTACGGTATTTTGCCAATACGTCCCCCCACCTATGTGATTCAAATATATCTCTTCATTCCTCTAACGCTCGTCTTTTTGTCTCCTCCCGTTCGTCTTTCATGCTCTACCCGTTCGTGGTAGGACCCGTGTCCGACGCACGAAACTCCTACGTTATTGTGACTCACAGAAATCGCCAATTTGTACATTTATACTAATGTCTGTTTATACTTGGTCGTATCGTAAACGTAATGGCGATTATTGTCGCAATAGCGGAGGGCGGAGTAGAGCGATCGGATGCGTTATGTGCAATCTGATACCTGGTAGTCTTCGTGAGTGAAATATATGCGAGCGTACGCGAACCTACATCCTTCACTAGCACCCCACATACACTCATTCGCCCCTCTTTGTTGTTTGTAGTAAACTGGTTACTTGAAACATATTGTTGACATAACCGATCTAATATAAATATATGTTGTATGTACAATGAATGCATAGGTGTTGATGATCAATTATTATTATTAAAAACTCATAAAAATCAGATTTTTATCATACATGTTAATATAACACAAGAAAAAACATCAAGAACTCCTACACAATACTCCTTTAAACCCTGGTTTTTTTAGCACCTCGGCCACCTCCCCTGGCCACACCTCTAGCCGCACCCCTACCCCGGCCGCGCCCTCTTCCACGTCCTCCCCGTCGGGAATCCTGTCGGATTCGGTCGTCTTCACTTCGGAAGGCATGATGCAGATTGACGAGGTCTTTTACACTCTCGTCACAGAACATGCATCCTTTGAAGGTGGTCTTCTCATCGGGCAACGGGCTTTTGTCCTAAAACAGCGCACTTTTAGGTAAAACCTTTTTTTTCTTCAGTTTTCAAGACCCGGGTGTTAATAGTGTTGGTAATCCAGGGGAAAAGAATATTCAATTGATTTTCATGAAACCAGGCTTAACACTCGACCGAGGGCTGGCGAGTGGGGTGACGACATTACCTACGAGTGTCGTTTCGCAAGGGACAGGAGGTGCCCTACAACTAGGTCACGCCCACAGTGACCTCTTGCAGTTTAGAGGAAGAGGGAGGAACTCAATGAAAGGCAATACTGCTCATATAGCGAAAAAATGAAAATATTAGGTGGCTAGGGAAAACTAAGCAGAAGAATTATGAGCTCATTATCAGCCATCCTCCTCAAAATGAAGGATAGGAAGCGATAAATAGGAAATAGAATTTAAGTATGGCCGTAAGGGACCCACAGCACCAAAAAATGGATTCGGTAGCGAAATTCAGAGTTCGCAGAGGGAACGGCGAAGAAGAAAGCAAATGGTCACAACCAGAAAAAAAAACGGACCCCTCAGTCGAACGATTCGAATTCTCACGACGATTTTTCATGCACTTCTTATCGGAAAGCACGACGATCGCGTTAATAGCGCGTTTTCGAAATGACTTCTTGTTTGTTGTTATGGGAATTCACCCGGAAAATTCGAAAATACGACATGTTCTTCCCACGAGAAGGTTGACAATAGATCAGAAAAACCAAGTACATCTACAAAGACAAAAAGTCCAAAAGTTGGGGTGTTAATCAATCTCGGCTGAGGGATGCGTCTCCGCATTCGACTATATTCAAAATCGTAGTGGCATATTGAATAAGTTTGTAGCCTATACAATGAGTTGCTACGATCAGTCCGATGTAAAAGTCAGTGCTTTTGTCCTCCCACATGAGTCTGGTACCAGACTGACTGACCCCGGTGGGACGGAAGGTCGGTCGGGGTCGGTTGGCCTAGGTGGGATTAGAACTCGTGACCATGCGCGTGTCATTGTGTGCCACTGCAACTCCACCACCTCCGCCACTGTCACTTCTAAACGAATACAATCTTCATTTTTATCTTTTTCCAGCTGTTCAATACAGGAGCCCTGTATGTGACAAAAGCGTTACATGTCACGGAACTTCCCCCGCAATTCTGCCCTCTTTGATTGATTTTCTTTGGATTTCCACTATCAGAGGGGTCGAGGGGCTGTTGCTGCTAACGGAGACGGGCCAGTTCGTGTTCACATCAAATAGTTACGCTATTTGAAGAACCAAAAAAATTTGAGAGGTAAACATAAACTAAGGAGAAATGGCACCACCAGCACGCATATGGTCCGGGGAACAAATTCCATATAGGCACCCTCACCAGTTCAACAAAGGTTCTACTGCCCGAGTTCAGTTAGTTGGTACCGGTCTCGTATGGGAAGGCGAAAATATTGTCGTGACATGAACCAGCCTCTGTATGACCCAAATACACAATCCAAGCCTACTACGATTTTGAATGGATGCCGAATGAGCAGGGCGCATTCTGTAACGGGACTGATTACCACGACTGATAAATATTATATTCCGTCTCTTGAGGGCACCGGGCGATTAATGGGAGCATCACCGGGGTTGTTAAACACCGGGGCTTTTTCGTTGTGCACTTTACCGCGTCCATTTTCTTTCTCCTCAAAGTTCGCCACGAAGAAATGAAAAGTCCCAGATCCCTCCAATTTTCGAACTGTTCAGAAAACTCATCCAGTAGTTGTATGATCTATGTACCCTTAGTATCGTAGAGCTATGGATTTTTTTTTNTTTTTTTTCAGATTTTCTGCCTTAATGTTGTAAAATTTACAGTTTTTTAAATTTCATAATTTTTTTTTTAAATTTTCCAATTCATAGAAACATGATAGGAATGCTTTTTAGGAAGTTAATGGATGATATTATTAATCAAATTTTACTTTCAATGAGCTTAACTGACTTTGAATTACTACGGTATTAACGAATGATATTATTAATTAGATATTTTTTGATAAGCTCATTAGCTACTACGGTAATTTAGAGATTGGTGGAGAACTTAAGGGTCTGGGACTGTTCTGAAGTTATTGCGCTCCAGAACCTCTATCTTGAATGTGGTGGTCCCCCGAACTGACACTTTTCCCTCTTTGACTTTTTTTTCGAGAGTTTTGAGTTGTTCGGATTCATTTAAAACCTGACTCCTCAGAGGTCGAGCTCTAGCATATAATTTAAAAAGGTTTAGAAAGATATCACAGGCCGTACTATTGCTAAGATTTTCCCCTTTCGTCCAGAGAAAAATAGAGCCCTTTTTTAAAAAGTATATGACAAGCTTTATGAAGTCGCCTATGAAAACGGCTCCAATCAGGAGGCTTGGTAACTATACTTTATTCCAACCCTATAGAACCGGATTATAGCCCGAACCGGACTGACCCGGACTTAGCAAAAATGGGCAGTCAGAAAGGCTTCCAAGCAAATGAACTGGGGGTTTCAGCTCAAAAGCGAGCCATGAACTCGGGCGTCAAGATCGCAAAGTGTTAAATACATTACTCTTTACTGTTTACTCGTTAGTTTACTAGTGCCCTCCATAAATCATTTACACGTGGGCAGGTGACCTCTGAACACGTTGAAGCTGCCATGGCAACCTTGAATGATTCCAAAGCTGACGTAAGGGTTGATAGAGGTGTTCTGTAGTGAATCGATCTTAAAATTTAAGGGGACCTAAAACTCAAAAATTACAGATGGGTTCCTTTTAGCATGCCCCATTACCAAACTCCTTTTTCGGCACATAGACCAGAAAATGGGCCAAAACCCCGCTAGGATGCCATAGGAGAGATATCTCATGCCCAAAGCGAGAAGACTGAGACCATAATAGCTGAATGGAGCATTTTGCCACCAAACAGTATATTATAAACGTTTCCGATGCGCTTATTTACTGATAAAAAGAAAATTAAACCTGTTTTGCACACACCAAGCAAGGGGCGGGACTTATGAAGTGGGCAGGGTCCACACGCTTTCGGTTACAACTCCCGGCCTTAGAGCTAATTCTGTTACAAAAGCAAAGGTATATAGAGGATTTCGAGAAAAATGAAGCCATTTATCCAGGATTTCAACCTTCTTTTCCCACTTGTTTATTTACCTATTTATTTATGTCACTGTATTGTATCGATGCTGTAACCCTAGATTTAGAGGGAAAAACGAACTTCCCAACTGACCTTATATTCTGCGATTACGATACGAGCCTCACAATCCGGACATGAAGATTCCGTAACGCGGAATTTAAGTGCCCCATCAAACATCGCTACAACCGACGGACACCTGTTGCATGTCAATCTCCACTTGGGATGAGATTGGGGATCCAATACCATAACACCTAAATAAAGTACTGGAATTGTAAAAGATGCAGGTGTAAAAAGAGGTCATCAGTTCCGTATGGATCACATTGCTTTTATTCCGTGGAAATTAAAGCGCCAGAGAGCTAAGGGGGTGTTCTAGCCAGAGAAGTTCCATCACACATTCGGGGATGGAATCCCATATCGATACTCACCCACTCCAAGTTTTATACTTTTAGGATACTCACGTCTGAAATAAGGCGTGGGTGGAGTAGTGCCTAGTAGCGCTACTACTAAACATATGGTTCTGATTTTGTTGGCCTGAGGAAGTCGGCACTCACCCGAACAAACTAAAGCTTGCATTATTCGAGGCCGATTAATTGGAACCAGACTCGTCTGGGAGGACGAAAGCAATGAAATGTACTTAAGAGTCACCTCTCTAGATAGGTGTGTGGGCCACTGGTCCAAATACGCTTACAAACGCTACTACCACTCTGGATAAAAGTTTGCACGAGTTCGTACTCAAATTGAATCGACCAACCCTATTAGACCTCCCGTTCACAATTACAGCTCCAAAAAAAGCAATGTAGCTCCCGTGGAAACTATGGGTAGTGAAAATGGGAAAGGGCATCGCCATAGCGGCATTCTAACGAAAGTTATCGAAAAAAAGTTTCGCTTTTGTAGTTGCTGCGACCCAAGGACAACAATTCCTCTGGAAATTTACCTAAGCGTGAGTTTTCACAATTCAATCTGTTGGGGTTACATAATTGAAGACCTGAAAAGTCGGACTAGGCCATGACATCGCTACCAAGTTGGTTTCCTTTCCCGAGCCTTAACCCTGCTTCATTTCAGTGCTCAGATCCAGGTTGCCCTGAATTGTCTCATGTTGACAGCATCCCAAGCCGATTCCGAACAACTATGACAAGTTTTCTTACCTCCACATTCCTGAAGGCAGCCGCACACTCCAGATGTCCTGAAAGACTTTTTGAATATAACTAGTAATTTCTAAAAGCGGTTGAAAGTCAAGGGAAAAAGACCCACATGTACGAATGAGGGCAAGCTGGATGAGGGCAATTGAGGCATCCTTCGCCTTCTTTCATCGACTCAAACGGTGGATTATTGTAGCAGAATGGGCAAAACGCAAAGCTTCTTGCTAACTTTCCACCGGGACCCTTGGAAAATTCATTTAAATTAACAACATCTAAATGGTTTGGTCTACCCTGAGATGTAAGAGTACAGTAACCCGCAGTGCCATAACATGAGCGTTACGACTCCGAGCGTTTAAATTTAAGGGGAAGGCGTTTGAACGCAAAAAAGTACGATTATCTGAACACATTACTATTCACGGCCCATATAATCCTCAGCCCTGCTAAGGTTAAGGTTAATATCCCGTTGGATGTAACCTTCACACTGAATTTGAAAAAAAAAAATTTTCGTCATTTTTCAGGATGCGCCTCGCATTCTGCCTTTATTCAAAATAGTTGTGACCTCTAAAATGCGTATACAACCTAAACGGTAAGTTGTAGTAACCAGCCAGTGTACAATTCTATCGTCCCAGGCAAACCTGACACAAATAAGCCTGGGCGTGTGTAGATCTGAGAATCGAGCCCCGAACCATCCGTGTGTGATGATGCGCTGCTTACCACTACATTAACTCTGCCCAGAACTGCCATACATTCACAAAGAATGAACAGGATTCCTCATCATAGCCTAGACGCATGCGCCCACTCACAACAGCAAGATTCTTGATGTCTCAGAAAAACCGTAAGGGCGCACCCACGTGCTCAGATAATTAGGACATTATGAGAAATCAAAAGGGCCAGTAAAAAAAGTTTTGAAACTAATTTGTTTTTAATTTGAAAGACCCATGAACTCACATGCCAATAGACGAGCTCAAATTCATCCAATGGACATTTCTTTTCTCCGTACGGTCGAAGAACTCCATCTTTGAAATTCGGTACGGAGTATGTTTCCTGCAAAGCTGGTAGTGGAACATATTTGAACTTCTCCAAATAGTAGGATCTTTTCTCAGAGGAAAGGAATATATTCAGTATAACGTATCTTGAAAAAAGAATAGAAGGATAAGTTCTTTGAAATTCAGTCAGCCCCGACTGAGGAATGTGCCCCACATTCGAGTTCTACTCAGAATCGTAGTGGCGTATTGAATGCGTACGTGACCTATACAATGACTTGCAGTGGCCAGCCGATGTAGAAGCCAGTGTTCTCATCCTTCCGAACGAGTCTGGAACCAATTAACAGAGCCAGGAGAGATGGAAGGCGTGGTTGGCCTGGGCGGATATCGATCAGGGATTAGAACTCGTGACCGTGCGTGTATGATAGTGCGTCCCTTGCCACTACACCACCTCCGCCCGCATATATATTAGGATGTCCAGAAAGCTTTGAGAAAATTTAGCTGGTTCCTTCATTCCAAAGTAATCACATAAATAAACTTCGATCAGTGATCACGATAGTGGCCCTTCTCAGCTACAGTTTCTCTCCATCACCGGACAGGGCCTTGATGTCATTCCTTCAATATGAAGAAAACCGTGACGCGATTCATCATCTACCACCCACTTGACTTCTCGAAAGTTGGCGAATGTTGTCACTTTCAGAGCAGGTCTGCTGGCTTCTGAAAGTACGTCAGCCATGTGGTTGGGGTCAGGTGAATATGTGGGGACCGGGATAACCAGGTCATGCCAAGTCTTTCTAGCTCATCATTCGACATCCTCGCGTGGAATGATCGGGCATTATCCATAACAATCGAGAGTTTCCTTGTACTCGATGTGAGATAGGGGCTCGAACACCATCTCTCAATCGGTAACAGAATGCCCTCGCGTTTGCCGCAGTGCCCTCTTGTAGGATCCCTTTGTAAAACACCCGGCAGAAGAAGAATGAGCTCAGTCTTTCTTGGCGTGAGCATCTCGCTTTATAGCAGGCTGTGGCCTTACGTCCGTTGTTAGGCATTGCGATTTCATGAGTGGATTTTTATATAACATCTATTTTTTATCCTGAGCAATGATAAAGTCGGTTAATGTCGTCAATGGCTTACAGTCGAGGAGCTTTTGACACACACCGACTCCACTCTATGCTCCTGCTCAGTCAAGTATGTGCGATATTCGCAAAGAGTCCTGCTTTGAAAGCGACTTGTGCGTAGAACGTCGAGGAAGATGGATTAAAGAGTAGAAATCATCTTTACCAAGTCCTGCCACTTTGAAAGGATTGCTCCAACAGCAGTTCAGAGCAGTGTCCGTATTTGAGAACAGTGGACTGGGACAATTGGTGCTGAACGAGACTCGAGACCAACAACATAACCTCAATTACCTGGCACGTAGGACAAAAAAGACGTTGTGGTCTTGTAGCTACCAGTTTCATGTATCGTCTACATTTACCACATCGGCAAAACGGTTTGCCGGAATCCGAAAGCGATGTGAACGATGCTGAAAATAAGACTTTCATAGAAGCCACTGGCAAATAGAAATTGAAATACATTGCTACTAAATTGAGTCAGCAAAGTTTTACCCAATAGTTTTGACTTATTGTTAGAAGTTAATGAAGTATAAAAGGGAGTTCGGAAAAAACAACAAACTAATCCGCAAATACTGTACCTTCAAATAAAGTGTCAACCTGGGAAATATTCTTCACATAGTAAATAAATTTTTGTAGAAACATCTCCAGAGCGTGATCTCTGACCTGAAAAACTTATAAGATTAGGTAAAGGCATGAGATGGGAGGTATTCACGTCCCTCAGAGTAACGCTACTGCACAGAGTAAAGGAGAAAAAGAAACTTTCACGAAACTGATAGCAATGACGTCTTCACCAGCCCATAGAAGGGATGATAAACAGCTAATACCAGCCTTATTCAGCAATGGCAACCTTGTTTTTTTACCATTACCACTTCTATAAAAGTAAGATTTCCCTCTCACTAACCGCGTGATAGTCAGCTTTTCCTTGAGCAATCAGATTTAGTTGTGTTTCTACTTCGGCTCTCATTGTCGGCAGAACAAGCTCTCGGTCTACTCGCCAATAGCCATGAACAAGTGATATACCCAGCTGTGTTGGCACCAATCGCCGACCGCTTTCCACCTGCAGCATATCAAATTACATACAATTCCACGAAAAAATTTATCGTGAGTACTCAAAGTTCACCCTTGAACGATTATCGATTTTTCAGAAAAAAAGGTGAAGTTCTATAGAACCCCTGTACCATCAAATTTCGTTCAAATAGCTCAAATCTATTGCAAAACCTACAGTAACATAGTTTCTCTGGCNCTACTCGCCAATAGCCATGAACAAGTGATATACCCAGCTGTGTTGGCACCAATCGCCGACCGCTTTCCACCTGCAGCATATCAAATTACATAGAATTGCACGAAAAAATTTATCGTGAGTACTCAAAGTTCACCCTTAAACGATTATCTGTTTTTCAGAGAAAAATGTGAAGTTCTATAGAACCCCTGTACCATCAAATTTCGTTCAAATAGCTCAAATCTATTGCAAAACCTACAGTAACATAGTTTCTCTGGCTGATAGTATTGATGTGAACTGGAATAGAGGCATCGGTTCCTATACCATGCTTCTCCATGAGCGTGATCAATTCCGATTCGGTAAGGTAGCCTGGCGGGGACGTTTCTCCAGCGTATAGACTCGATTCCCTGAGTAAAAAGATGCTTCTCAAGACAACATTTCGAAATTAGGGATGACTAGCGGTAGTTCTGAACTGCATGTAACGCAGCGAGTCAACTAGCTAAGGATCGCTGCAGGAAGCGAATCTGCCCCTTACCTCAAAATCTTGGTACATCTAAGCCCCTGATATCCAGAATAGCCAAAATGCCGGAAAAAGAAGTCATTCAACAGTGGAAAATGCCTCGGCATTAAAATTTCATCGACATAGAGGCATGGCTGACAAGTTGCGGAAAGTCCTTGTTGGTGAGTCTTAGAGCTAAGCGCTGACAACGATAGCCTTTTCCGACAACCACCAATGAGGAGCGAGCTGGGCGCAACGGCCCTATCTCCATACTACAGTAACCTCAGCGTGTCAACTGTCTCTGCACATAATCTCCCCATAAAATCTAGCTTCACTAACTTGAGAGTAACTTGATCTCCTGCATTCAACGATGGCACCTTCTGATCGTCATCAACATTCAGCCAGGTCATCACTTCGGTGAATCCTGGATCCTTGACGGTTTTTCCTGTCAACTGGAAAATTTCGTCGCCACAGGAGATTCTGAAACTTTTTTTTTGTATAGGAACAGGGACGAAGCGATTTTTTGGGTAGGAGGATACTTCATATTGCTTGCAACTATATGAATCCCACTCGAACTTGTTAGTTTCTTGGCATGTGGAACTACACGCATTGTCTGAGAAACAAAACCAGAATAGAACCCTGCCCAGGCCAAGGACCAAACCGCCGCTAGAATTGTCCAACACCACTGGCCAGGAAAGTAGGTGCACGACATGCGATCCGAATGCAACTGCTATACTAATCAAAAATCGAGTTCATGGCGCACCCAAAAAACGAGATCAACTAATGGAACAAAAGTGCTCAAATCTCCCAGTCGAAGGTTCGATTGATAAAAGCGGTCATTCGTGGATATAGAAATGAGTCTGCTTGAATAAAACCCACGTTACGGTAGTGACATCATAAATGCAAGGACCCATAAGTGTTGCAACAAAGTGCTGTACTACATAGTCGTAAATACGCGCCATATCTGGAATAAACAAATAATAAACAAAGTTCTCAACTCCATTCAAGAAACCATAAACCTCCGGAGAGCTGCCCGTTGCTTGGTTTCATCGGTGTAATCGGTGGATGATCACCTTTATCTTCTCCACCTTTCGGCTTACGAATGCCATCATTCAGAACCTGAACGGGATTACTGCAGTGGAGCCTGATTCAGTAAGAGTAATGGGTTATGTACCTTCTTCACAACGTCTCCCCATTTAGGATTATTAGATTGTTGCTTTAGAGTTCCCACAAGATCGAAATTAGGCGGGTACGCAGTGGTTTCCGTTCTTGGGTAAGAAATATATCCTTGAGTGTACAGTTGTTCAGCAACGCTCATAGTTGAAGCAGGGCTGATGCCTAAAGACAGAATTTAGAAATAGGTGAGTTCAAAATACAATGGTAACGATTTCAACCTAACAATTAAAGAATAATTGAAATTTTACGACTTTACCGAAAGAACTGCTTGCCACACGCATGAGTTCGACGGTGTTCAAAGCTATCGGTCGTTCCTTTCGTGATTCCTTTGTCGTCCTATCAGTCACGATCCCCACACCGGCTTTCTGAAAGTGAGCTTTCTTTTCAATAGATGAATGTAATTACCGTAAGCCTCGAAGCTGGCAGAATGTTGTCTAAAACAAAAATACGAGAAACCAAGCAGTATGAACCTAACCCTCGGATTGAAGCTTTCTTATGATTACGGCAGGGAATGGGAGGGGAAGACAATTCAATGAGAGATGTGAGTGAGATGTGACTAGATTTACACAACAGCTGAAAAAAAATTGAAAAACGCATGAACCCAATGGAAAACTTTAAAATCTAGTTAGAAGTAAAAGAAAAATTTGAGAAAACCCAAGACGAACAAAGTTTTCCAGAAAAAACAGAGCGGTAAACTGAACTGCTCTTTTCTGTAGTTCCGATAAATTCACCGTAGAAGGTTAAGATTTTGTGGGACGTGATTTCTCTTTTTTTCATGAAGGATCACATACCTTGACACGATCCAGGAAAAGCTGACATACATCCCTATCAAATATTCGACCACGCTTCCATTCTGGCCGGATAGTAGTTGCGTCAGGGGTGTCGAACTTACACTGCAGCACCCAATAAGATTCTGGCTAAAATGGAAACCCCTTCAGTAACTCCAGCACCCAACCAATTAACAAGATGGCCAATAACCTAAGTTACAACTCGAAAACAACGATTACCTTGAAGTGAGTAATCTGATCGTGGCGCGTGACACAAAACCCCAATGTAGGAGTTTGACAAGGTCCATATGATATCACAGTACTGTCGAGATCACCATATTTATTCTAGAAGAAAGTATTCAGAAAAACCTCCTATCTAGCATCGAAGACTATAACGACGAAAGAAGCAAGCAGAAAACGAAAAGCTGCAACTAAGATTATCAAATCAATATCAGGATATAGTTGGAGACCGCTTTCACAATTCTTTCAGCCTCATACAAAGGCGGAAGATGAGTTATTGAAAGATGAGTTATCATTCTGAAGGGATAGTGAGAATGTCGTACCCACCCGAGCGTGCTTTTAAAAAAAGCACCATGCAAAGATTTCATCCAAAATCGTATAGGCTGATGACTTAAAGTTGGTTAGTCTGAATTAAATTTTTAAAATTGAAATCTGATCTTTTGCCAGATCCCCGAGCACTGTCGTCGAAACTGCACCATTCTCCTTAAACATCTTCGCGCATTAATCTCCCGGCAGTATTAGCTGCATGGCAACGGAACTGTCATTTTTACTGACCCGTTTGATGGATGAAAATGACCTGCTAAGCAAGTTTCAGCGGTACCTTAATGCTTTGAAGGTAAGTAGGTTTCCACTCAAAGCGCTCTGCATATACGGACGGGTATTTTATAAACTTCACACCCAGCTATGTGAGTGCAAGGAAACTAAGCTTCGCCAGTGTATTACAGTATTCTCGAAGTACCCGCTGCCTCTTTAGACAGAATAGTCTCTGTCCTGCTCATATTCGCTGGCAGGGACAGTTTACTGGAATGTGAGAAATAAAATCAAGAGAAGAAAGGCAACTGATCAAGAATATCGAGAATCATTCTCAAACAGTTTGCAAAGATTGAAAAAGTCAAGATAAAAAATGAGTGAAAGAGAGGAAAGAAGGGAAAAAGAAAATAAGAGAAAAAGAGAAAATTCGGCAAAAGTAGTGAAGAGCAAAGAAAATGAACTTGTTCAGTCTTCCAAAGACTAGGAAGTGAGGCTGCGCAGTTCCAATTGGGTCCTTTATAGTAGAAAGAACCTGTCAAGATTTTAACAATTCAGTGGATTTTGGGACCTAGATAAATAGAAATGGAGTCATTTAAAAACCACCCATTGGACTTCTACTTAATTTCTTGAGCATCCAGATAACCCGATGATTGCTCTTCAGGGCAGTTTCACTGAGGCTAAACTGAATACGACCTGTTGTTTGTCTGTTAGATTGCAACCAGAGTGGAGTTCAGCCTGATGAAGAATAATGCAAAATAAACCTGGAAGAATTTTGTCTGGAATCTCGTAAATGAACAGCCAACACGAAGATCCAGCTCTTGTCGAGCATCCACTGCTCGAGCCTCATTCTGATTTGGGCGTGCGAGGTTCTGCATTGCATATTTGATGTCTTTTTCGGTGATTGCAGAAAAACGGGCTCTAAAGCCGAGAATCTTGTAAATCTGCAGACAATCAATACGGTGTACACCTACCTATACACATTATCCATGAAATTACCGTACTGAGGCCTTTTCATCGCATCCCTGACCGCATCAATTACCTTAAAAAGATGACGATAAATCACCTCTCTATCACAGAAGACGCGTTCGTGTTTTAATGTTTCTTTTACAGAATTAACTAAAAAATGTGATGCCGTCAAAGAAGAGCGACATGAATCGGGGCTCAGGACNAAGGAAGTAACAGCACTTCATCCACAAGCCATTGTGGTAAATCCCGTCAGAATGCAACATATTTCCCCCAGTTGCTGTATGTCACGGCGATGTAGTACTCCCACATTATTTCCATCACATTTAATGTCCTTCGCTGGAAACAATCCCTTTGTTGTTTTGAGTACAATTGAAGTATAGGTCGTTCCGGTTTCCGGCATGATCGCAAATGGAATTTGGACTTATGAATCAGTATAAGTATTTATAACAGAACTGTGCCAACTGAACGATATGCCAGTATAGGTACGGTATGAATACCGCCCCCATCATCGGGTGTGACACGGTCATTACACAAATGCATCTGAAAAAGAGTAACCTCGAAACAAATGTTCTCTCCTTCCTTGTCACAATCCAGCCATAGTACCAGATAATCAGCACCTTTCGCTTCGAATGCTAGGTACTAGAAATAACCACATTACAAATTTAACTTATAGCCAAAGAGAGGGTTCATCACTGAGAGAAGCTTTATTGAATAACTTACATCATTCATATGCATCTTTGGATTTGCTTCAATTTTAGTCGTTGGTGCTGAGTATAGTTCTACAGGATCGATGCGCTCCCAGTTGTTGAATCGGGGCGGGAAATCCAAACTCATGACATGCCCACACGTACTCGTCATCTTAAGAGGTTGGTATTACAGTAGCTACCACCCGTTTTGTAGGTAAGATCTACTCGTCACTGCTGAGTAGAGAAACAAGTAATTATCCAATCAATAGAGCAATGGAATCTAAACGGTCATCCAAATAATGCATATTGTACCATCTAGGTTTTGTCTCCCCTGTAATGATTGCTTTTCCCGACCACACGATCACGGCACCTACTATTGGCTGATGGGTCGTAACCACCAATCAGCGCTTCGATAAGTCAGTTTTGTGAAGAGGATAAGTTACTCTTCCGTCCGGTAACGTATTCCTTTTTCCAAGGCTTGAACAGTGGTCCAGGATCAGCACAAGCTAAGGAATTACCTTAAAGAAAGCAGGTTTCCCCAGAAACTGGCCTCCATATTCGCTGACTGAGCACACTCCGTTCCGTCCTGAACATGATTTCAATTGATATTATAACGTTCGGAAAATAAAATTCAGAGCAGGAGCTCACATAGATTATGAGTAGAAAAACTAGGTGTCCTTTAACAAAATAAGTGTTTCAGTAACTCAAGATAGAATCAGGTTGAAGGGACAAGGGATCCGAAACTGAACACACCAGAAATCCTAGGAGTCAGCCAATTGCTCTAACTTCTGGAGTCAGCTATTTGTTACTATACATGTTCAGAAGATAAATCTGATAGCTTGAAGGTCGTAAATCACCATGAGCCTACTGACCATCAGGAAACATGTTTCTGTGAGGCGCATTACGCTTTCAAATGTCTACATTTCCACGCGAAGTTCGAACACGCGGCGCACCTCCAAGACTTAACCGACACCGCCTCTCCTTATCCTCTACATTGACCGCCGTCAAAACGGTAGGAAATGTCGACAAGGTGATAGATAATACACACTTGGGAAGACTTCTCATAGGTTCCTTTAGGTATTAGAATAACACAGTGGACGGACTTCCCGTAGATTCCATGCCATTCCTCCCTCCACCGAAATATGGTACCCCGAACCTAGTAATCTAATAAGTGTAAACTTTCTCGAGAAATTACGCCCGTAAAACTAATGGCCCGTAATGCACGTTGATTGGGAGGGGCTCCTGACTCCACAGCAAGTCCGACGACTTCGGTGCAACGTATTTCATTTAAATACGAATTTTCCGACTTTCTATGTACTTTCTGTTGCAACGAGTGAAATGTAGAGGCTATACGTACGAGCAGAATCCGCCAAGTAACAAAGCAACAGCTGGCCCCACACCCTTATAGGAGCGGTATGCAGGAATAGGAAACTAGTGACTTTATAGTGACCATGCTCCAAGGGTCACGGTTTCGCATGTATCCAGTTATTCGAAAAGGATCTCATCCCCTCTCACTCCCTCGGAAACTGCAGCGTGTGATTCCTAGGATGCGTCAGGTTGCAGTCATCTTTATCCATCAGAACTCACAGTCCACGAAGCTGCTGTACCGCGATATCAGGGGACTACGAGAAACTACCAGTCACCGCTTTTATATGAGGTTTTTGCAAGTAATCCCTCTGCAGCTTCTCAGCTATCGTCCCCTTCCCCATTCCTCTTCCTTCAACACTGCAGTACCATGGTACAGTAAAGCTAACTATAAGAAGTTCTTGAGAGGGTTTCCTCATTCCTTAAGGCTCATTTGAATCTTTTATCTGAACAAATACCGCGTGTGATTTTTTTTATTGATGCGTTTCACTATCTTCGTGTCGACATCATAGTCTCAGAATAAACTTCCTGACTCTACTTATTATACCAATACCAAACATTACCCATGCAGAATTGAAAGGCACAGCTCACGACAAATCTTAGGATCCCTTTTAAGGTTGAAAAGCGGAAGCGTTGATGAGAATAGGACATCGGTGGCGAAGAAAGCGGGGAAGCTCGCCGACTTCGCCAGAAATAAGACTTTTAAATGTTGTGAAAATAGAGCTTGTACGAGATTACCGTTACAGAAATGGCCTGAAAAGGTTATCCGAACAAGATTTCAGTTACTCCATATGCGTAAAGAGCTGACTATCCTTAGTCTCAAATCGCCTTCCACTGTCACTATAGGGTACGACTATTTGTTTGAATTTTTAGTTTGGTGTCCCTTGCGAATAGGGCAGCCAGTAACGCCGTTAAAACTCGTCCGCTGTTGGGCGTGGCATACAGCCGATACAATCTTTAAGCCCTTATAACACCCTATCTAGGCCGTTTCACGGTCTAAAACCACCACATATGGTATGCGAATAGGCCTCAGTTGTCTCGGGCAGATGTCTCAGAAACGGTTTTGATCGTCAACTATGCCCTTGCTTCGACTTGATGTTCTCACTAACTGCTGCTATTCTGCCGCAGTATGCAATACGAAACTTTTAAAAAGATGGCTGGGAAACTTTAGAGCTGATGGGCACGCTGCCCAGAAAGTATAAGTACGGGTTCGAGTCCCGTCTGAGGCCTGAGTTTTACCTATAATTCACCACCCTAGTGGGCCTACGTTTCACCCAACGGCAGCCTTTCGCTTGCCTACAGTTTCCCTAGTACTGCACGCGAGCACGGTTAGCATCTGTCGTCTGGTAATTTAAGCCTACACTTTTGCCAGACTTTTCACGCCTCACTCCCACATAACTCTGGTTCCCCACTGGAATATCATATTCTAGTAGCTCAGATGAAATCAACCGGTGCTTTTTATGATCTTTCAAGGAGAAGGAAATGTGGAACAGGGAAAAAGTTGTGTCAATACAATTTGCGCATGGAAGGAAGAAAGGGTAATGATTGAGTTTCATCAGGCATCGCTCACCGAAGTTCAGTATTGTTTGAAAAAAAGAATAAACATTGGAAAAAGGGCGTACTCATGCGATGTTTACTTCAATTGCTTACTTACCCATCCGCTTCCTATCTTCATGTATTTCATAACTTATATTCAGACATCTTCTGAAGCAGCGATACAGCAACACGGTAGATAAGCAGTGTAGATAGCTACACTGACTTCGAAACGTTAAAAAGCATTAACAAACCGTAAGCGCACGAGATAATTTCAAGGTGAAGGCGTGACCCTAGTTTCACCATTGGACGGAATCACCAGCTGGATCCCTACTATAGATTGCCAAAAAGAAAACGTTTAGAATTGAGCTCGAAAAAGCAAGCAGAGTGCTTCACTGAAACTTCTAAGAAAGCCCAGTGACGAGAGAATCTCATCTCTTCAGTCTTCCACAAAATTTTAAGTTTTAAAAACTCATTCTAGAAAGGGACGAAAATCGTCCTGAATAGATTTTGATGGAAAAAGAAGAAATAAGTGAAAGATTTCAAAAATGTTGGAAAACAAATCCAGAATTCGTTGAAAAGAAACCTTTTCGCTTGGAAGCAGTATTGTTCGAGAGAATTTTTGCAATAGAATCGGCAAGAAGTGGCTTTTCCGCCACCATCAATACCGTCGCGCTCTTCATTGAGCGAGATCTATAACATGAAATTGAGAAATTATACTCTACATGAATTCCGACTGGTGTTGTAGAAATGTTTTAGTCGTAAGAAATTTGGATTCAAACCTGTGCTGAGTAAATCTGGTGCCAAAGTTGTTCCATATGAAAACTTTTATTTGGAAAAAAACAACCACAACAACAACAGTAACCATTTTGAACAAAACAAACTGTATCAAAATAGGAGAGACGATACAGTAACAAATCTGAAATTAGCCACCCCCAAGAATGTTGAGTTATGGACAAGCAAAAATATCAATCCTAATCTGGGCTAGCCCGAGTTATCTGAAGGATGTTGGGGTCGTCTTCATAGGAGGCCAGTCGAATTCGACCTTCTCAACATCGAGATCAAGTATGTCTACTTCACCTTCAAAGACACCTAAAAGTTCTGCCATCGAAGGCCGAGTACGGCCGAAATCACCATGTACGAATTCCTTCACATACGTTCCAGCTTGGGTTACAAGCCTAAATATATCGCAATTCACAATGTACGGATCCCAAAAGTGAAATGAGCATCGTCATCATAACAGAATCTAACATAGTACTTTGTTAGCACAAACCTCAAAAGGAAATGGTGACTGTCAACTCGCAGTATGTCCATACTATAAACAGTACGTGGACGATCCAATAACGCTCTCCTTTTTAAAACTCTGATCGGAGTCTTTTGCATTACTTGGATTGGAGCTTGTTTCGTGGCATTAGTGAGCATGTCATCAGAGAGAGGTAGAGTACTGTAGCAGTATGCGACATAGTGTTTCCTTTTCTCTGAAACTTGTGTGTAAGGGTGGCAAAACACAGAACGAGAACTACTCGATTATTTAGGCCTATCTGGCTATGTCCGGACTGTGTATTATAGTTTGACCACACCCCCTCCCCCAGCACGTGTGAAAGAACGTCATTAATGTGATGAGAACCTCTTTCCCTTGTAAGAAAGATATTGACAATTCAATGGAAATTTCCTTGCTCCCACTTAGCTCATATGATCAAAAATTTCATGGATTCGAGAAACTGTTTCATTGAAAGCACCACTTACCTTCCTCTCCAACGCTTAGGCTTTCAGCTTCCTCTCGAGTCACTCTCGTTAGATATTTGACACATATATCCTTCTGCTTATTAATCTCTTTTTCGAGGTTACGTAGCGTCTCTTCGTAATCCGTTCTTAACAAAAAAAAAATAAAACTAGAACTTTGCATTTGCCTTATATTCAGGTGAATCGAATCAACTCTGAACAGAAAACTCGTCAAATTACCAAATTTTTCGATCGAAGATTTGGCTAACTTAGCTACCCTCCATTCTTCCAAAAGCAATCTCTTTCATATGCTTTCGTGTGTAACAATTAACAATGGCTTACCCCTTGAGCGGATTGGTAAACCGACAGTTCCGCAACTCAACAGCAAACGGTCGACCATCACCTAACATACGCACATCCATGTCCTCTCGTCCAGAGGCGATAAATCGAGCCTCAGATGCGCCGAACTTGTTCTTCATCGGATCACAAACTTTCTCCGAGACCTGGGAATAATCTACTGCGGGTCATTCAAATTCATTTCAGTACTGACATGTAGCACAATTGAGGTACTACATGAATTACTGATTTCGAAAAGAATCTCTCCACATTTTGATTCACTAAAAAGTATGAAAAAATCCGTTCATCTGTAAAAAAGGAGTCTGGACTCCGAAAACATACCGAGTTTCCAGGTTCTTTTGGCGCCGATTTTTCCTCAACTGACCAAGGCGACTGAGGCAATGTTCGTGAATACTTGCAGTATCGTCCAGCAATGAAAACAGGATCTCGCTCTAGGGCCAAAGTGAAAGAGCACGGTCGTGATGGGCAAGTTAACTTGTATTTTCTGGAAAACAAATCACTAACTTGTTTTTGAAAGTCCAAATGGAAAAGAAAATTTTCTGTAGAAACTTGAGTATGCTTCTGCTCGAAGAGAAAACTTGTTCTGCATAATTTACTGAAAAACTAAGGCCTTCTCATACTTAGCCAAAAAGCTTAGTTCGGTATTTTACCCTCATGAGGGTAATTTAGCTCACTATAAAATACAAGAGATAACAATAAGACAAAAACAATAATATTGAATGTTTCAGAAACTACCCAAGAAAAGAACCCACCTGGCAATATCTCCTTTTATTCGACCCAGAACTTGCTCCACCTTAATTTTGGTAAATGTTGTTTGCGGCTGGCTTTGCTCATAGAACTTCCGTTTTCTTCCCTGCTGGAAGTTCTCAGGGAAGTGTTCCAGGAGGAATTTTGTATCGTAATCATTAAACTCATCAGTTTCGAAAGCAATCGTTAATTGAAGATCTGACGATAAAGTAAGCCTCAATCCAGATGCCTGAAAAAAATTCAAAAATTCCTTGCACTATTTGAAACCGTAGAAGAGCACATCCCAAGATTGACGATGCAAGATTTGAAGACATTGAACAAGGATTATGGTACGGCCCTCGAAAAATGAGGGCAGAAGGATGCAGATCACTTATGGTTGTCCAGACCATTGCTCAGGAATACCTACTTGTCGTCTAGCGGTCAAAAGCTCTAAGAACACCGTCCCATCAAGAGTAGTGAAAGTGGGACTAAACCCGCACGCATAATGTATTGGGCTGGTGTAATTGCCGATATCTCAGGCTGAGATTAGTTTTGCTTCTGAACTGTAGCCATTTTCTGACTGCAAGGCTTATAACCAGCAGATCCAAGAGACAAACCTGTACACGTCCAGCATTAACCCCTCAAAGCTCGAAAAAGGCAGGTCGAAGGAGAGACTTTGAAAAATTCGTACCTCTCTCAGCTTCGGCAGATAAGCGTCAATATTCCTAATCTTGTAAGGAACAGTAACCAGAATCCCATTCAGATCCGGCCTTGCTTGTTTTATGATGGTTTGTCGAAGGGTTTGAGATATAGGTAAATTAAGAGCCAATGTGCATGCCGGAGCATCATATGGTGAATCCTTCAATTGGTTCGCCACAGCTTCGGCCACCTATAAGACAAAATATTAGAAAGTTCCAAAAAGTAAAAATGGTCGAAAACACAGCACAACACTAAAAATTGAAACAGAAAGTTGAACACAAACTTCTCCTATGTATGCTGGATCAAGAAGTCCAAAACACAATACGCACTCGAATGGTTTTTCTACCAGTTCAACATCAGGCGTCTCTTCTCCGGCAATTTGGCGACGACAAAGAGCACATAGGTGAAGCTTGACTCTTTCTTCGGCTTCTGAACCACTAGACATAAATTATCCCTGAAAAGAACTGTATTAAGGAGAAATGCTAATGGCAGTTCAACGTCCTTCCAACGTTAGGCTAGGGATAAAACTGCTGAAAGCGCTCTATAAATCGCATCCATTGCGCCCAGTGGTTGTCTCCAGGATGAATTTAGACCTAGACCAACTAGAAATGCGACCGTATATTCCCAACTAACTTACTAAGTCAACATTAACTAAAGTGAAGAACGAAACGTCTACAATACTGCAGAACGAGAGTGTGCAAGAAGATCTCGAGTTAATGTGCTCCAAGAAGAACCAGGGCGGATAATTCTTATGCCCCGCCTCCTTCTAGGTTTTTAGTTTCTTTGGACCGACATAGTTATTTTGGAGTGCTCGCAACATTTTCTGCATTCTATGGATAACATTCTCTCATTTTGGAAATGTTTACCTACGTTTCACTCAATAAATGTTCCCACACCCCACGTTCCATTTGTGGGCGCGGCCTAATGTACTTGTACTGCGCGGTGGTCCCAAGAGGATCTCTCTTCCGTCCTTTGACATTTGTCTGCGTTATTTTTGCATAAGAAACTTGAATCTAACGTTTTCTTCTCAATAAAGTTACTTTGTACTTGTTTTTCGTTGGTTTTGAATCGTCCAATGTTGTGAAATCATGCTGCTCTGTATTACGCACCATAATGTTATGCCTGTTTTGCAGGTATGGCTGGAAAGCAGGGTCAGGAAGCCATGAAGAAAGCTCTTCAGAGCGCCAAAGGTGCAGGTGCTGGAATAGGGCTGATCGCAGCAGCAGGAGTTGCCGTCTACGGGATTTCCCAATCAATGTTTACCGGTACTGTTTACAGAATGTTTTACAATGATTCCGTATTTTCAAGCCTTCAGCGTTATTTTCTGGACATTTCATACCTTTATTTTGATATACAATTTATAACTAAATACATCTCAGGGTCCGGGTGCTCACGGTGAAAACGAACGTTTCAACCATTTATTTCTAGCATTGAGTATTAAGACGTAAATTACTTTTAAACCTACTTGGAATCAGTTCAGGTTTAGCAGTAGACTGAAAGTCAGCTTGAGAATATAGCAACGTAAGTCGGATAAGTTCAACGAAATGGTGTCTAGATGCTTTTGGTGATGGTTCAAGGAAGTTTCGAGTAGGAGTAATTTCGATGTGTTTTCTTTTGACCTTTCAATTCTAATTGCTTGAAAAGATATCTTGAAACTCCGTATCCGCATACTTTGAAGAAGGAAGAGTCCGGGAGCTTCTTAGCGGCATTCTTCGCATTTAATTTCAGTGGATGCTGGTCACCGGGCTATCATGTTCAACCGTATCGGCGGTCTCTCCAATGATGTATACAAAGAGGGATTGCATTTCCGAATTCCTTGGTTCCAGTATCCCATCATTTATGACATCCGTGCTCGACCAAACCAGGTTAGTAATTGAGGATTAACGGCGGTCTCTAATCTTGCTCAGTTCTACTTTTTAGATTCGCTCCCCAACTGGAAGCAAAGATCTGCAGATGGTCAACATTGGCCTCCGAGTTCTTTCTCGTCCAAATCCCGAGCAACTAGTTAGAATGTACCGAACACTTGGGCAAAATTGGGAAGAAAGAGTATTGCCTTCGATTTGCAACGAGGTGAAGTCTTGGTTTATTTAATGAATTTAGTGTTGTTTAGCTCCAGTGTTTCTATTGATGTTTTTTCTTTATAGGTTCTCAAAAGTGTAGTGGCAAAGTTCAACGCTTCGCAGCTTATTACCCAACGTCAACAGGTACTCTTTTCCTTTTTCTTTTGGTCTCCATAACATACGGATTACATAGGTTCCTATTGCCATCTTGATTTCTCCTGAAGAAAAGTTTTTTTTTTGGAAAGAATTGCTCACTCTCTTATGAAGTATTAATAATACTTAGGTTTTATGTGGTTGGCAGTGATTTATTTTATCTATTATATGACCTCTCTTTCAAGGTGTCGATGCTAGTTAGGAAGGCTCTCATTGAGAGAGCACTAGACTTCAATATCATCCTTGACGACGTGTCGCTCACAGAATTGGCTTTCTCTCCTCAATATTCAGCTGCCGTAGAGGCGAAACAGGTGAGAATAGAAGTTCTGTTCACATTAGTGTTTGAAGTTTTCGGATTGTCGTTTTTTTCTTATTGAATCTAGTTGTTTTCTTAATTTCTAGTTAGTCCCTGTGCATTCACTTTTGGTTAACAAATTGGAGAAATCTTAGGTAGCAGCTCAAGAAGCCCAGCGTGCGTCTTTCCTCGTTGAACGAGCTAAACAACAACGTCAAGAAAAAATTGTTCAAGCGGAAGGAGAAGCTGCATCAGCGAAACTGGTGGGCCTCAGAGTTTTTCAGTTTTGGTTTTTGTTCTTTGAAATTGTCGGTAATCTTGACGAACTTAGAAAGAGTATCTGAGTTTGTTGTAAGGCACGACATATAAAGAAGAGATTTCTATACTACGAGCTTCTGTAAAAGTAAAAAGCTCGTTAATTCTTATCTGACATTTTCTTTTTTGTATTACTTGATTCATTCCATCTTTTAATGGAAAATTATCCGATGATCATTTAGCTGGGAGAGGCAATGAGGGCGGATCCTGGTTTCTTGAAATTACGAAAAATTCGAGCTGCTCAGACTATTGCCCGGGTTGTTTCTGAATCGAATAACAATAAGGTACGGCTCCTCTATTTTTCTGGTTATTTAGTTAAAATCACTAAGTTCTGCTTCAGGTTTACTTACCAGCTGGTGGACTTATGCTGAATATAGCTGACGCTGATTATATGAACATCAACGATGGAAAAAGAAGGTAATCGTCCGAATTAATACTGCCCGAGGCCTCCAGGATGACTTGTTTTACAATGTGTTATTCCGAGTTGTAAGTGTAAACATTGGTTACATACAGATTAGGCTAGATTTTAAGAGTTGTAGTTGTTATAAGTTGTTACGGTACCATTAAACTTTGTTATTCTCGACTTTTTTCGCTTGTTAGTTTACAGTAGGACTCGAATTTGTTTTGGCTATAAGTATTCATAAACTTTTATTCTTGTAACAAACCAAAACTCTTTAGTTTGAAGTGGAGACTTATGAAAGACTTATGACACGTCGTTATGTACAAACATGAGCGATCAAAATAGATTACCATCTCATAACCTGTGCATGTCTAACTAAAAATTCTGTATGGGGCAATGGAAGTAGCAGTATAAGCTCAAGACATGGAAAAACGACGTAAAACAGTTGAGTCCTATATTCGAGTCATTTTAAACTAATGACTAGAATACTAATGAGATCTTCTGATTAATTGTTTTGAATATGATCCCTGAAGCAAGATTTGATGTCGTTCAATACACTCCAGCATGGTAACATAGAAACATCGGCCTGTAAAAAAAGGTATAAAAATTGATTGTTTTGAATAATTCTTTAGACATAGGCTGCCCATTAATTTCTAATCGCGTAAACATCCGATCGGCAGTGGCGCATTTCAATCCAACACAATCCTGTTCGACGACAGTTGCTTCACACACAGAGAACTTATTTGGCAGCAGCTACGGCTAAGCTGGTTATTTAGCATGAGGAACTTGATGCTTGTCTGATTGACTGAATGACTGATTGATCATTGGCGCTTTGTCCGATATTAATCACCACAAGCACAGTAACCAAAACATAAAAATGAACTATCAGCGACGTACTTTCGAAGATATCCAGAGCTTATGCCGACACCTCTTCCTAAGGGGTATGCTTACAAGTGAAAGCAGTAAAGTAACTGGACTGATTCATTGGTGCGAAATAAGCCACGCTTGTATCATCCACTCGGTATCATTAGTATTTGATCTCGGCTAAGCTATGTAATTTATTGTGCTTAATTGAGGAAATTAAAGGACAAAGAATAAAGGTTTTCGACCTAATCAATCCTTTCTCTGGGATGCGCTCCCACATTCGACTAACCCCAAAGTCGCAGCGGTACTTTGAATGCGTATGTGACCTATACAATGACTTTGGGTGGGCAGCTGATGTACGAATCAATGGTTATTTCCTCTAAGACGAGTCTGGTACCAATAAACCGAGGGAAGGAAACCTTGATTGGCCGAGACGGATATCAATCCGAGACTAGAACCCTGGACCATGCGTGTATGTGATGGTGGGCCACTTGCCACTACGCCACCCTCCATTATGGAAATCTATTGTTCTTGAACAGTTTTCTATTGTTCTAAATTAATTTCACACATCTCATCTCTTTACTTATTATTCGAGAGGCACCAAAGTCCACTGAACTTCTATGCCCAACTTGAGTGAGAAACTTCTGTTTTCCACACCTTCTGAGACTATGGAATATGCAGGCGGATCGAGTAGGCTTGGCTATTGTTACGTCATATCATATGTACTGAATATATTAGGTTGTAACATAAGTTCGTAGAGTTTTTCACAAAGATTTCTCTGAACAAAAAGCAATAATTGCAATAAAAAATTATTAATTAAGTTATTATAATAGTCAGCCAATACACGAATTGTTTGGCGACCATCTTCCTTCAATAGTGCCTTCAGACGCTCTTGGTCGAATTCTGCAGGTCGTCCGCTTCGAGGCGTGTCTTCAAGTTTAAAGTCGCCTATTTCAAGCTTTGCGAACCATTTTTGTGCAGTAGACACACCTATGTAAGACACCTTCCCTGTACACACTGCATATCTCCCGAGCTGTTTCGGCAAGTAAAGCAGATGTCGAAAATGCTGATTTTTTCCTCCTAGATATTCCATTTCTGAGCCAGAAAAAAGACGAACAGTTAAACTCCCCAAAAAACGGGTAAAACAGCTTCGTAGAGGAAAAAAAGCTCTTTCGAATGAATGTATACACTTTGCTGAAAAACAAAACAAATCGTTGCAAAATAACTCCAACGCAAAACTACGTCATATCATATGTACTGAATATATTGCGAGATGGTAGCCAGAATAGTATTTTGTCGCCTCGCCTATGCAGAGCATGAGCCCGATGAATTGGTCGAATAAACGGTTCACGTGGCTTGAGACCTGGTAGATCCAACAAATCGTTTTCTAGACCACATAAGGATTGCTCGGAAAGAAAGATGAATATGTACTTGACTGCCTGCCAAGACCCCGCTTTATAAGGGGCATCGAAAGGTAAAGAGAGCCGTCAACATACGATATTTCCATTCTGATTGTAATAATTCAGAATTCGTGAACCCAAATAATTTGTTAGTAAATCCATGAATAAAATATTTTTATTTTTTCTGAATCATGGATATTATGTGGGGGGAGGTGGAGTGGTGGCAAGTGGCGCGCTAGCACCAGGCATGGTCACGGGTTGGAATCCCGGATCGATACACGCCTAGGCTAACCAAACCTTCCATACCTCCGGGGTCGGTTAATTGGTAACGATTCTGAATAGAAGTCGAATGCGGTGGTACAACCCTCAGACAGGATTAATCGAAGTCCGAAGACTTTAAGACTTTGGACTTTATTCATGGCTGACACGAATTATGGTCACAGGGAATCCATCCTTTGATGTCTTCTGAAAGGCAAGGATGACAAAACGGGCTGAGATTGGAACTTTTGCGCTGTTGCGTGTGTCCGACGTGATTAACGTAAAGACCGATGAATGCCTTATTGTTCGTAGATATTGGAGAGAAAAAGGGTAAAAAAGAAAAGGAATACCCACCTGGAACGTGTTGCCCGGTCGCATATTGCAAAATCCGAGACATTTGTTGCCGGCGCTAGTGGTGTGCACTCCACGCTCAATACAACATTGTGTATGGTCTTCGGATTGAGCGGCACACTGCATCAGATCGAGTCCATGTGATTGTGGGCATGGATCCGTACCCAGGAACATACCAGTCAACTGAAATACCTCTTATTAACCTTCACACTTTCTCTTTGAGATCTGAGCCCCTAAAATGAAAAGATTCTTGATGAAAACCTAGTTCGAGGGGCATACTGTCCCCCACCCCTATCTGCGCTCAGCGTGTCGCGACGCGGACCGCTGCGCCGAAGAGGTCTTATTGCGAATGGAATGGGCCCTTTTCTGCCATCATGTTTCCATTATTAGTTTTCATTAAGTGCCATTTGAATAAAGTTAGCTAAATATACCGTCTTCTTATTCAGTACGTCGAAGTTACATATCCGTTCACAGGACTTTGCGACCTTGATCGATTTGCAACAACTCAAGAAGATGTCGTTCGCATTCTGAAATTCAATGGGTTGAAGTTGGGGTCATGGCCATATCGGAAAAAAATGGAATACCTTAGCAGTGCTCAAAGGAGCTGCAATTTTGGGAACTGGCCTATTGGGAACAACGATATTCAAAGGAGGTCGCTGTTGTTTAGCAGGTACAGGACGAGGCTGCGGTACCGGTGGTGGTGAACGAGTAGTTGCGACAACTCTGAACAATTAGTAGTTACTTTCATGGTACTGCTTTAAATTGGCCTTCCAGGAAGAAAATTGGAAAAAGATTTGTTCAGGAGAAATGGCTTTTCACAACAGTCTATTCCTTTAAAAAACTTGAGGAGAAAGTTGAATTTCAAGCAAAATCGCAGAACAAGCATCAGGAAGTAATAGACTAAGAAATCATCGGAAATACCGTGACTCATCAAATCTTTTTAGAAAAGAAGAAAATATGAAAAGAAGTGGCTGCTGGATCGTCACGAGGTTCGATACTATCAATCGCGAACGAATTTCAGGCACCGAATTTTTGGGGAAATTTTTATTAACCTTTTCGCTTGCATGTCAATGTAAGCCACTACCGTAGAAGCCAGTCACTACAGCCATACTTCAAAAAATTCTCATACTAATTGATTTATCCTTAAAAAAAATCCTCTGGAGCAGGGTTAGACACAGATCTACATGAGTCACACCGTCATGATCTTTCTGATCGTTTTCGAGATCTCTGGCATGATTTATAACATCAAAATATTCAGAAATATATGGCTCTAAAAAGGTAGTAGAGTGAAAAACTGTGACCCCCAAAGATAGTATTCTCAAAGGACGCTGTCGAAAAAACGGCTCAGGTAGATCGTAATAAGTGACCAAAAAAAAAGACTCAACCGATGTACACACCCGGAGTTGCACGAGTTCTCGTGGCGTTGCAGAGGCTGTAGAGATAGCTGGTTGTACGCAATGGCACACACACACACTTGAACAGCTCGTCCAACTACCCTTTCCACGCAACTTTTGCCGTCAAATTCTCGTCCAAACCTTATTTTACTGCATTTTGAAGCTTTATATTTCTTTGAACATGTAGAATTTCGCGCTATTCTGAATTTTGCATTGTTATTCGTCTACATTCAGATACTCCAAAATTATCGTGAACCGTGCTTTGAATTCGAATAGATGCTGTTTGATGTAATCAGCTCGAAATGCTTCAAATCACTCACGAAAAGTTGAATAAATAAACAAATGAGTAAACAAACAAACAAACAAACAAACAGATAAACGAATAAATAATTGATTGCATACAAAAATCCAAACAAATCAGATTGCTGTCACCATAAAAATACATTGGTCATGTTTGATTTAACTCGGTATATTATTTGAGTGGGTATATATGATAAAGTTCTTACCTGGTATTTACTGGAGCAGGTCGGGGCCTGGTATTTGGACGACGGACCACTGACCCGGAAACATCGTTACTCTGAAAACCAAACTTATTGTTCGCCAGTACTTCTTAGGTCCTGCATTTTCTATCGGCTACCGCTTTCTGGCTTTTCAATCTTTCTGTTATAGAAGGATATCATGAAAAGGTGGGAAGTTGAAATGAAGAACAATGGTCATCTGTCGTTTCATCAACCGTCGGGTAGGGGACTTTGGCCAACGGATCATTGGTTTAATTCTTCCATAAAATCTTTGAGAAAACCTGGTTCCACTTACGCAAGACCAATATCTCGAAAGAAAAAAAATCGAAATCCGTGCTTTAAAAATCGGCATGCGGTAAACCAAAAAAGGAATCCGGAACTTCGAGACGAATTTTTTGACCACTCGAAGTTTCTGGTCTTTCGTCTTTACGGGTGGCTAAGTGTTGATTTTCAAATCTGATAAGAGCCGGACAAAAGCTTTGCGGAAGCCATCGTCCAGATCCAATGATAGCTCGTGGCTGTTCGATGTAAAAGGGGCGTTTCCACTAAACAATTAAAAGCAAAACTGAGTGGAACTCTAATTCGTGGCGCATCCTAGCACCTGACGACTCATTGTCTTGACGATTCCTAGCTAAAACTAGAAAACTCACCTTTATCTTTTTGTTTTGGACCGTTCGTGGTGGCTGAATCACTCGTCTGAACTGAAATCGACTTCTTTAGTGACAGATCTTTATAAGAAGTGCTCCTCACTACCGTCCTTTTACTTACCTGATCTGCAGGAGTTGTTTTCGCAATGTCTTCAATGTAGCTGGGGTGAAGACCATCAATCAGTTTCTCCTCAGGACCGTAGGCTTCCACTAGTGACTATAAATCAGAATGAGATGGGTACATAACGAAAACGCACATATTTTCTTCATGATCAGAGCACATTCAGTTGTTTGGGAGCATTTCAGGAGTGTGACTTTACTCAATGATCGTTGAAAACTTTAAGATCCCTAGATGAAAAGCATTCTCGAAAAAAAAACAAGTAACAAGTTTGCATGGAGTAGAAACTTGCCAGGAAAGCAAAAAGATAAGTGCTGATCACTTGGTTATATCAAAAAGCTCAATTCCCAAGACGATTGATCAAAAAATGTGAACATTTCTGAGTTATTTGATCTCACATATGGATTGATTGATTTCATTGATTTTTTTTGGCAAAGCATTTTGTTGCTCCACACCTGGACGACAGAAAAAACACGGCTGTTTCTATTCTTCAGATGTGAGGCAAAACACGGTTTCAAAAAAAAATGAAAGAATTCGGTACTAATCATTCCATTGCTGGAATCACCCTCGNTTTTTGAATGCGCATGAGGCCTATGCAAAGGCTTGCGAAGGCCAGCCGATGTAGATTTCCGCGTTTTTATCCTCCCAAGCGAGTTTGGTACCAGTTGACCAACCCCAGAGCAATGGAAGGCTTGATAGACCCAGACGAGTATCGAGCCGGAATTCGATTCTCAAACCGAGTGTGCGATAGTAACGTCCCCTGCCTTACACAACCTCGGCCTACATGGCATCATACACCATGAAAGCTAACCTTGAAAGATCTTCAAATAAAATTGCCATATTAAGCCCTCTATCGAGCCTTTATGAAAAAAGACATTGTTTTCATTAGGACGCGCTAGAAGTGCTGTGAAGAGGGACATTTAGATCTTCAGTAACTGGCCATAAAGCACACTTCAGAACATTTTGATCTTTGCACGTGTCCTACAGCGGTAATGAAGCGGATTTCGCTCTTCAACCAGAAAATTTCTAGGAAAAAGTGTTTCAAGTGTCAGAGCGGTTCGTGATCGATTATGTCCAACCACAACATGAGGACAATTACAAAGGCCGCCCTGGTTAGCACCGGATCTGCTTCGATGCAGCTTTTTTTGGAAAGGCAGTGGGCGCAATACAATCGGTGTCGGTAAAAAAGGAAAAGCGGAACGTCGGTCAGTAGTCCATAAATGGACATAAAAAATGAGGGACCGGTTAACATTTTCCCTTGTAAGGTACTCATGTTTGACAACAGAATTGTTGGGAAGGGGTTGGGAGGGAGGTGGGGAAGATCGAGAAAAACTGGATGCTCAGGCTTGTTCTAACTGATTGATATGAATTCATCTAATAGCATCGGCTGTTTCTCTCCGTGAGTGTCACCTCTGCTGAGAACCCCGCCCATTTCAGAGCACCTTTCTCCGTGGCGTGGCTCGGTTAGTTTCATCGAAATGAGGAAGTCGTTGTAGCTGCTGCTACTATCCTCACAATTCAAGTCTAGAGAAGTAGTCCTAGCACCGAGCCCGTCTACGCTCTCCCAAGGCACTTATTTTTACAGGTTAAAAACCCATCCGAGCAGTGTAGAGGGTTAAAAAGAACTTGATGAGTGTCACCCGTGCGAGTTTCAGTCACTGTAAACGTGGATGTGGAATTTTAGTCAAGCTCTTCTCCACTGTAATGATGCGATTTCTCAGATCAGCTNNGGGCCAATTCTTATTGTAGGACCAGCTCAACTCTGAGAATGAACCCGTTGTTCAAGATAATTGAGTGGATTGTTTTCAAAGACAGTAAAGGGAAGGTTGGGGTACATAAGGACAGCAATAATCAGTTGGATGGATTCCAAAAATTCTACACAATTCGTAAATCGAATATTCGAAATATTCAAAAAATATGTATAATATTATGGAAATATTTCCAATTAAATATATAATGCATAGCTTATTTTAAATCCGCGACCATAACTACCTTAGTAGTCATATTGTTGGCGGACTTTGGTGGTGTATAAGGTCGATCCGGCATCGGTTTACCGTAGATATCGGCGAGATGAGGAATGAACCTCTCTGGAGGCGGAGGACCGCGGATCTATGGATTACGCGCAATGTATCATCGTAGCTAATCGATAAATCGATTACTCACTCGTTGTTTAGCTGGAAGTCGTGGATCACCTTGTTGAGCTTGTTGAACGAGAAGTTCGTTTTGTGTGAGGGTCTGGACCTAAAGACACGAACGATTAGCCTACAGCCAATCTCTGGGAGGGTCGAACCGATTTTTCATCGCCATACAGTAACTTTCGTACCCTGAATTGTTTATCAAAGATCCTTGGTGTTTCACTGTGACGGAATTTCTCGCGGTTTACCTGAAATCAACAAAGTTCTTCAGATTCTGCAAATCTGAAGACAAAATGTTACCGTACATTGATCAACGGTGTAGGCGGTGGAGCACCTCGAACAAACTGTTGAGGAGCAACTTGTGGTACCTATAAATGCGCAAGTTCACGATTATTCACCAGTTACAGTACCCTAGACATCCTTACCTGTCTTACAATATTGGGCTGAAATTGNTTCGCTACAGGAAACTGTTGTGGTGCTTCGGGTTGTTGAAATTGAGGAAATTGCTCGAATCGTTGGAACTGCTGCTGTTGCTGTAGAACAACTTCTTGTTGAGGTGAACGTTCAACTAGAGGACGAGCATTGAACTGAAACCAAAGCTCGTAAACCACTTTTCATGATTTCTTCTTTACAGATATTGGAATCATGTCAGAGGGGTGGCGCAGTTCCTCGAGGCGGCCTAGTGCCACCTGCGCTAGTCATTAGATCCAATTCTTGTCTGGTCCTATTTGTTAGGGCCGGTTTGGAATGACCCAAAAATGCAATCTCGAGCGCCAAGCTTTTCTCCAGTCGTTCCCTTTGTTATGCAACGTGAACGATCCGATAAAAACTGTCTCGCAGCCAGTTCCCTTGGTTTATAGGCTTGAAGCATTGTGTTTAAGATCTATCACGAACCTAATCACTAGCGGAAACGATCCAATCACACCTAGCTTTAGGGCAACTCTTCAAAGAAAGCTTACAAAGTGATGACTTGCGAACAAAATATTTCGATTTTTTAACGAAGGCTCCCACCCTCTCAGCTCCACCAAACATGTACTGGGAGACCCTCTTTAGGTGATCGTACCCAAAGTAGCTAGGCACTGCAGGAGACTTCCTTGATGGGGATAGTATGTCTCCTTTTTTAGAATCGCCCTTTGCTGTGACCAGCAGGAACTTGATGGCGACACTTCGATGGGGATTCCTTGCAACCGTCTCCTTCTCGTTCCTCCCGTCCCGCTCCTTACTGGTAGGACGGTGTTCCCGCAAGTTCTATGAACCAAAATCGACAGGGTTGAGAAGATGAAAGCTGTTTTATTCGTGAATTTCATCCCAAAAGGATGGGAACGGCGCCTCTTGGCACTGTCCCGGAATGGGTAGAAAGAGTCTGAACCGGTGTAGGCTCGCAAACCATCTTTATACAGTAACCAAATTGTCAATCTAATTAGATCTACCTGTTGAAAAATATTAAATGTTGCTTCATCACAGAATCTCGAGAACTATGTCAAAGCTGGATAGGCTATCTACGTGGAGGGGAAGCTGCCGTTTTCGAGAGCCTGGAGGTCGAAGCGGATGGCATTCACTTTGGAGGAGAACGAGTTTGGGTTATGCTCCTCTTCAAAATTACGTCCGCTGTAGTAAAAAAAACTCGAAAACGTCTAAACACTGTCAGGGCAGACCCTCAAACGAAAGAGAACGTGCGCTTGTCCTTGAGTATAGCGTTCCAGTAGTGTTCAAGTGGCCAAGCCATTCAGTTCGTGTTTCATCTGTCTCCCGATCTATGAACGAAACCAATCCAGTCAGTTTAACTCCATTCATACCATTACTCATTTAGAATGGCTTTAATTGCGGTTTCTCAATTGCAACCAGCTTTTCTTAATGTGATGACATAGAGACTCGAAAGAGAACGATATATTAGTCAGGGCGAACCAACACTCGAGTGTTGGACAAGGTGAGCTGGTCTGTAGATTAGCCCCAATCCAACGCAAGATGACTCAAGGATCTGTTTTATAACCCACCACACCACTCTAACTAATCCGCCTTGCCTAAAATTCCGGAGTGAGCCATGTGCTTGGCTCTCGTTCAGAATCACAGTGATACTTGGGTGGGTCACTAGCTTATATGGGTCAGTAACCTGTCAATATTCAGCGTAACGGTTTGTTGTGAGGGACAGGTCTGAGGACATTAAATGAATAGATTCAAGGCCCGGGTGGTCCAATTTGTCAGCGAGCTGGTGAAACTCAGGCTTTTTTTTTTAAAAAACCTAGCTGGAGGGCTAACGCCGAATTATGTGCACTGCATGGTCATGTACAGAATTCCTCCGGCTGTAGGAGATATCAGGGAAACACCGGCAATTTAAAAAAATAGACCTGGATCAGACTTCCAGTTCCCCATTATTGAAAAACCAAGTCACTCGAAGTCTGGATTCCGGGTCACCCAGTAAAGGAGCATGGACGACTTCTTAGATCTCATCATGACTATCCCCCTAGACATTCGGTGTCAAAAGAAGGATGAATTCCTAAGAATACCAGTAACATAAGTAGGAACTTAAGAACCAAGAAAAAAGCCCTGGGGTGACTTCTCAGGAGAACAACTATTTTTCTAAAGATAAAAAGGTGAAAAAAGTTAAAGTTTATAATCTTGCCTGGTTTAGCGATGGCTGCGCGAAGTTCAACTGTTGTGGCTGTTGAAATTGTTGTTGTTGTGGTAGTTGTTGTTGTAATTGTTCTTGTGGCAGTTGTTGTTGTTGCTGTTGTTGGAAGAACTGTAGCTGCGGCGGTAGCTGAGGTTGTTCCCAACGTTGCCATCCTTCAAACGGTTGCTGCGGCACGGCTGCCGCTTGTAGTGGATAGTACTGTTGAGCTGTCTGCTGCTGATAGTACGGGAACTGTCCGTACACATTTGTGATCACCGCTAAAAACCAAAATCAGCCAGTTATTGATTAGTAAAAGGGTTTCAGTAAAAGGAAAAAAGTAAGGGCGCAATGCTTAGGGTTTGATGCGCCATGCATTCGACATTGAATTGGAAACATAACTGCGTTTGGCAGTACCGAATCTAGACCCAAATAGACTAATAAGCTCAAATAAATGCGAAGAGTTCAGCGTCTGACGAACAATAATCGGTATGAACTTCAAAACCGAGAAGGTGCTTGTCAGAGTAATGGGCCAAACAACGTTCATGACAGCATTTGCTCCTAACTTACTAACAAGAGGAGTGAAGGTGATGTAGTGGCAGTGCGACAAGCTATCATAACACGGTCAGGGGATCGAGTCCCGAAACATATCCACCCAGACCAACTGAGCCTTCATCCTACGCTTTCCGTCTGTATAAGATCCGACTCTGGTCTGAGAAGATAGACGCGATCACTTGTACATAGGCAGACTACCACAACCCATTTCCGAGGCGGCTTACACATTGGAAACACCCCAGCGATTCTGAGTAGAAGTTGAATGCGAGGCATATACCAAAAAGTTTGGTTAAATTGGGAAGGCTCCTTAATTTATAATTCTAGACCTATATGAGACCCACTGATCCTATGGACAAGACTCCACTTAATATACAAGTCTCTTTAGGCAAACCTATCAAAAAATTTTCAGGTAACCTTATTGAATGCCGTAAAAAGAGGGCGCGTAGCCCCTGTTGGGCATTGTATAGGCACGGTGCATGAAAAACCGAGGCACTGGTTACTGCCCGAGAAGTCGCTAGACTTATGAAATCCGAAGAAGTAAAAGTTATCATTGCAGCTTCACTCCCATATCAGATCTAGGGTTCCAGTATACGGAAAGACTCTAATCTTAAAGATCTCAGATCCCCTTCAATGGCTTCTTTTTCCTTCGGAGACACCATCCAGGCTGTTCTAGTCAAAAGAAAGCCTCATGGATCTGCTGTAATTCGAGTCATTGAACCGTCTATGCCTATTCTTACTGCCCTAGACTATTCGAAAAACATTCGTATTCCTCTTCAGTTCTGGAACCCAGCAATAGACATTGCCGAGACAGTTTTTTCAGCATTTGGAAAACTCCCTTCAGGTGGCGATGTGTGGGCACAGAGCGATCAGGCGGCATCTCTCATATCGCTGGATTCAAACAAGTTTTGTGCAACAATTGTCTACACACTGAGAACACGTATGTTAATGAGTGTGTTTCCAACTGAAGGAATGCGCAGACTACCGAGAAAAACATCAAGCACAACCAGTAGAAGCTGATGAGCTGACTCTAGCTGGCCCAGTTCTTGGCGCTGGAATAGGACTACCTGGCGGGATCATAGACTAGCCCATCAAACGTAGCCATCGAGCCTTTCTCAGGCCACCCACTACTGAAGCTCTCAGAGACAATAGGGCTCTTGCCCGACCATGTGGAGACCTTCTACTTGTTCCTGCAAGAGCCCTCTCTGTTCAGGAGCCTCCCGATCCCCGAGGTAGATGAAGGATAAAGTGAAGAAGGCAGAAAAAGTGGCAAAAACGATAAAGAGCCTCAATGTGTGGACATACCTGCAAGAAGAGGAAGATACATGGTGGTGAGTTGCATCGCAGGTGCGATGCCGTGCGAATGTTTCGCGCCCGGTTCGGCTAATGGGCGTGTCGTAGCGCGCCAAGTGGCGGCGCCCCGGCTAGCGACGACACACTACGAAAACGAGAAGCCAACGCCTTCTTTGTCGTCGTTGTCGTCGTTGTCTAAGATGCAATTATCGTCGTCGAAAAAATCTCGAACCTCTAAAAAGCTAAGCCACACCCCCTAGAGAAACGAGACCCTGTCGAAATGACAATTTTCGCGGATTAGGCAGAAAAAATTCTCGCTTCTCACAAAAAAAAAGAAAAGGTGGGCTATGTTCATGAAGGAGTTGAACCAAAAATTTAGTTTGCAGGAAAACGAATAGCTCTATTGTGAACAGACCACTTACCGTATCTTGAAATGGGAGCTCAAAAAATCTCAAAAACATTTGAACTCTCTCGACCGTTATCAATCTGAAGACAACACAATACACCTCAGACACTTACAAAATGGATTGCTCAGCCTTATCGATTTCTTCCGAGGATACGCCACCCATTCGACTCTCATTTGGAGCTGTTTGAGTTTCGAGCGCAAACTTTACCTATGCAAGCCTTCACAGAAGTCATTTACTGCACGATTCAGAGTTGTTCATCATTAATAGATGGAAATAGCCCTGGGAGTTGGAAAAAAGCGATGAACGACTTACGCTTCGGAAAAGGACAAGGAGCTCGCTCGCATGTTGTCTGGAAATCATCCAAGATTCGATTTTTGCCCCCGTGTTTACGGTAACGGCCCATTACCACCATCTCTGACAACAAAAACTGTCGAGAAACACCTGCAGAAGAAGGAAAGTTCAATTTACTCAAATATAGCCGTAAAGGAGCGAGTAATCATAAGTAACTGTATCCTCATCAATTAAATTTTTTCACCTCAAACTTGGGCGAATCAAACAAAAAATAATAACAATAGGTTAAGGTTAGTACCAAAGAGGAAAAGAGGAAAACTAGATGAACCCCTTTAGAAAGGGTTCATATGCTTCAGTTAAGGATTTAAGAGAAAAACCCGACAGGTCTCGGCAGAAAGACCACGTCGATGGAACAAACGTGAACTAATATCGAATGGGAGACCTACGAAGGGTCAAAGTACGGGCAGAAAGTTCAAATGAGAAATGACACTGGGTTTTGGTAGGTTCCACTTGAGATGTCTTGGAAAGGGTCCCAATAATTGAAAACCCCTTGAATCGAGTTTATTTTTGCCCCAAGCTGTAACATAACAGAGCCTAAATAATGGAATCTACTTGGAAGTACATAGCTGAATAAACCTTCGTAGCGCTTGATGTCAGAAGTGGTTTTATGAGAAGGAAAGGGATTCATCCTTGAGAAACTTCGCTAAACAAACTTTCGCGGCGATGAAAAGTCAGACGGGTTGATGAAGGAATTGACTTTTCATGGCAAGCGATGAAGTTCTCCCGCCACCGGATTCCTCGCACTTTCTTGAAATAACAATCTATTTTAGCCATATATATACTATAAACTAAAAAACTTTGTATATATATCCTTAGACACCCAAATTACTTCATTTATAGACCTTACCCTTATTCAATCACTAGAATCCTGGTTTTCCGTTGCCTTTCACGGTGATTCCTGACATAGAAAACCCTTAGCATTCGGGGAGTCCCAAACGTAGGGTTAAAACATTTTTGGGTGGATGTGGTCAAGTTGCAAGAGGCTAATCGCCATAAAATCGGAATCGATATAGCGCTCGAAGTTCTGTTTCTTCCTAAAAACTGCTTTTGGCCTATGAGATTGCATCGGAAACGATTTCCTTATGAACACAGCATCTCGGATACGCAACAAATCATCGGAATGCTTAACAGCTCGACCAGTTCTTGCGTGATCTCAGTGAATGTCCACTATTGCATCTTCGGCCAATTGGATTGATCACAAGAAAGTGTGTCCGATGGAGGACCGAAGGACTTCCGAGTCAGATCTACAGCGGCCACGCCAGATTCCACTAGTTGTTTATGATAGGAAGTTCTGCTATCACAGCGGGTTGCTATGCCAGAACAGTTCATTCATTTTAGTTTATTTACGAATTATTTTTGTTTTTTCACGAATACACCACATGTTTATTCACCGGAGACAATGTGCGTGATTAAGTGAGACCCGTACCACAAATTCCACCAGCTGATAGACCAGGAGCTACTTTCATCCGCCCAAGTAACCTACCCGCGCAGCCCGATTCGTCACCTCATGCTCTAGCCCTCTAGGGTGCTCCAACATTTCTATGGTGTAGTATCAAGTGGCGCTCTATCACACTTGCATGGTGTAGAGATAGAATATATCCCGGCTCGATACTCGTCGAGGACAACCAAGCCTCCATCCCCCTGGGGTCGGTTAATTTGTACCAGACTCGTATGGGAGGATAAAAGCATTGACTAGTACATCCGCTGGTCACTGCAAGCCATTGTATAGGCAACATACGCATTCAATTGCTGCTACGATTCTGAAGGGAAATCGTGGGCGGATCTCAAAAACGGGAGTGATCAACGTCAAAAGACTCTATTCCAGGGTCTGATAATAATCCAGCTAACAACCATACTGTTAGGGTGTCCAGGATATAGAAAGTCAAAGATGATAGGACGAAATCCATGGATATCAAAACCGTTCTTATCGCAAGCTTCTAGCAATCAGTATGAAAGTTATAACCTTTGGTTAGAAAAAACAAGGCAGAAACATGCATCTTTGGGCAACTCAAAAGCCGTAAAGCGCCATAAGAAACAACGAGATTTGAGATGTCGATCGGTCATGGGACCCTGGCGCTGCGTTACGCCGGTACTTGACGCCTAACGGAAAGTCTCAAAGTGGTCCTTCAGTTTCCAACCGGTGAGGTAATCGATCAGCTCATAAAGATCCTTCATCGATTTCGATTGAAAAACGAGTACATGGCGTGACTCAAAGGAATGGATCACCATCAAATGTGTCAGGTTCTTTTGCTACCCGTTGTTTTCAACTTTTTGAAGCTTGCCTGCAATGCGGAACCGTCTATCTTGCCAGAGAAACCAGGAAATCCCAAGCGTGACGCTCACTCAGTGACAATGTTCCTTTTGGAAAATGCCTTGACACTTCTGGGGCTGTCGCGATCCAGTGGTCGAGAAGGTCTCGATCTGGATGCTCACGTGGTTCTTCTGGGAGTTTGCAAGTGTTCTCAACGGGATCTATTCCCTTTCTGACCCTTTCCCTATTTTTTTAAGAAGGATCCCACTCCAGTTCAAGCGCGAACTTCGCACAAGGGCATCCAACAAAGCCGTAGTGGTATGCGCCGTGCATTCGACTTCAGTCAAGTGTCGCGATGGCCCATAATTGAATAAATCAATCATTCAACATGAATTCATACAAAAAAACTATACAAAACCAAAAACACGGTTCAGCTCAGCTGTTCAATACGTCTGCCATTTTTTTGAAACCTGAAACCCGGGGGCAGTCTGTCGAGTTCATGAAAGTGCAAA